TTATTTCACTAATGCAACTTAAAAGGTGAAACTAATATATGAGATAGACTCATTACATGCAAAGCAAGATAATTCAAGCTGTGATTTGTCATAATTGTGATGATTATGGCTTACAGCTCATGGAAACCCCAAGAACCCCAAATCCACAACCTCAAAAAAGTAGATTATTACATGCAATCAATAAAACAAGGATTGTACATAGAACAATATCGGACCTCTGAAAAGTACAAGCATGCATATGTACTCAGTACTTGGTTTGGGCCCCTTTTGCAGCACTTACAGAAATTACTTTTGCACGATATTCTAATTATTCGAGTTTCACCTGTATGTTGGTAAACACAATCGTCTGCCCTGACATGCCCCCCGAGCCCTACTGTTGTGGTAGGATACTTGGGTTGGGGCTCAGTCTCCTTTTCCTTTGCCAATCCACGTATTTGCTGACATGTTTTTATTTTCTTGTACATCTATTTGGCTGTTCATTTTGGATCTTTATTTTTTGTGCAATCACATATTCTTGGATTTCTGCACATCTTTTCATTGGTTCATGTTATACCACTTTACTATGGCTGTTTGTATTAAATCATCCACCTCTACCTAAAGCGGGACTCCAGGAATTATATTTTATGGATATTTACATTGGCCCAGCTTGACTTGATGTAATTATCTATATGTGATCTCCGAAGGGCTGCCGGTGATGGCTCCAGCAGGTTCCTTTCTGCACACTGAGCACAGGGAGTTGCTCGCCATTCAGAGACGCCTTTTGCATTGCAGTGAATACAAGGCGTCGTACAATTTGACGAGGTGGCGATCGCAATGTCATCCTCCCCTACTCTCCACTTCCTCCAATCAGAGAATAAAAAAAAATACTCTGAATGGCGAGCAGCGTGCAGAGTGGAAGCTGCTGGAGCTGCCGCCAGAAAAAAAACAGCACTGACTATATATAGCACTTATCAATAAAGTGCTTTTCAGCATTCCCGGTGGACCTCCGGATATCAGATATGGCTACTTACACCGAGCAAAGCTGGCCCAATGTGATAATCCATAAATGATCATTCCTGGGGCTCAGCTGTAATGTTTTCATAGCAGGGGTACTTTAATTGGTCGTAGAGAGCAGTCAAAATGGCTGTCTTTACTATACGCACGTATAAGGTGTATTTTCACCGCCGTTGGCCTGGCTTTTAAAAAATGTATTTGTACCAAACAATTCTTTTAGCTTTAAAGTAAATGAGAGTGTCTCAGACAGAGTCGGCCTGTCAGACGCACTTGTTAGGATTTAAAGTAACCAGGCCTAGCTGTGGCGCGGTAATCTCAGTCAGGTAATTAGCAGACAATGAGTCAGTCCGGAATAACACATACCTCTAGTGTGTCAGTCAGGCAGACACTTCCACAGGTCTCTTCAGGCCAGGCTCTTTATAATCTCTGGCAGGATGTGTCATTTTTTCTGGGTGTGTCGGCTTCGTAGGCACACATTTGGCAGAGTCTTTTCTTGCTGTTGTATTTCTACACTTAGGTGACTGGATTTTATAAATCAGGGACATATTATTACACCACGGCACAAGCCAAGCTGGCGCTGGCATGTACAGGCAGATGTACATCATGCCGACCTGTCCCCTCTTATCATACACCAAGGTTGGCTTCTGTAGGCCCGGCTCCTTTTGTAGTCAGGGGCTGAACGAGGAGTGCTCAGCGTAAGCAATGGATCCAACAGAATCTGGAGCAGGAGCCCATGGCAACCAACCAGCTTCTATCTTTCAAAACTTAAGTAACTGGAAAGAGAAGTTAATTGGTTGTCATGGGCAACTGCTCCAGTATTGATAAATTCCCCTCACCGTGTGGCCAGGCAATATTAAGAAGGTCAGAAATACGGTGGGGGGGGGGGGGGGGGGGATTTTAACCAAAATGTCACTTTAAAAGAGAAAAGAAAAAAAGCCGTAAAAGCTGTACCTGTAAAGGATTGAATGCTTTCCTCTCCTGCCGCTCTGATCCAAAGACCTCCGGAGAGTCGATTGCCTGGCCCCGCAGTGCTTGCGAGAGAAAGAAAAACAGAGAAGAAAAGGGGGGGGGGGGGGGGGGGGGGGAGGATTTATCAAAACGGTAGCAGAGAAAATCTGGAGCAGATTTGCACTGCAACCAATCAACTTCTCTGTCTCTCTGTCTCATTTTCAAATCTTACCTGAGCAAACCGAAGAGAGATGCTGATTGGTTGCCAACTGCTCCAAATTCTGTCTGCTCCAGTATTGATACATTCCCCCCAATATATCTCTATTAAAGGAGTTGGGAATTCAATATAGAAATACATATTTATTTTTACTTTTTGATCGTATATACCCTTTAATAAGTAAGCCTGCACAGTTATAATACTCAGATACACAAGCCAAGGCGCAACTGGTTCTCTTAAAAATGTTGGACAATCAGGCTTTGTGTAGTATGGATTGTTGGACTGTTTCCCTGCAAAGCTCAGCAGTGCAGTATACTAGTATCTGGTGCTGCCAAGGCCAGCATGCAAAGTTCCTTCTGTTTACCACCTGCTCCGGCTGGAAGTCTTTCAAGTTTTTGAAGTTCAGTAAAAGTCATCTAGTGCGCGTCCTGTGTCTGGTTCCCGTGTTTGATCTGAGGGCCCACAGCTACTTCTGCTGCATTTCAAGGGCCACCTCTGTATTACAGAACAGGACGTATCACAGTCAGGTATCCCTAACATCAGACACCTGCCTACGCAAGTAAAATGTCTCTTTAAAGTAGAATTGAAGCCTTGTCCGTGACGTCACCGGATCTCCGACGGAAGCCGGCGGAGAGGTGAGTACTTTGATCGATCAAAATAATTTTGATCGATCAAAGAAATTAACGATTAATCGACGGATTAATCGTTAATTTCCGCACCCCTAATATATATATATATATTTTTAGTTTTAGATAGAGTAAGGGAAGGTTATAGCTCCTAAAGCTTTTTTTCACTTCCTGTCTGATAGTCCCAACAGGAAGTGAGAGGAAATCCCTTCAAAGTAAGGAAAACTTCTGGTGGTCAACAGGGTCACCAGAACTAGTGTCCCCATAGGGAGACAACCCCTCTATTCCTGTTCTGGTGGCAACGTGGAACAAACGTGGAAAACATGTGCACAAACGAATGTGACACGCATGGGGTGGGGTCATTCCATATGCTAATAGTGCTTAGTGGAGTTCGCTGAGTCAAAAGGACGTGGTGCTGGTGGGACATACAGTATAAACATTATGGTGACAACTAATATAGCCCAAAGAGGTTTTCTCAGTAGAAGAAGACTTTGTATGGGTGTAACGTACTCTGTCTCCTCTCAGGTTACAGAGTAAAGTGTGTCCTTCATCCTCCAGTTCCTCACAAGGTGTGCTGTGGTAGATGCAATTTGTAGGGGTCAAAGGGCAGTTATTTTAGATTAACGTGTCATTTTATGTTTTAAGGAATTCTTCCAGGATGAGGTAAGACACCTGGAAAGAGATTTACACGGGTAATGTAGTCTGTCAGAGCAGCCCACGTGGCTATTTGACACTTGACGTATGTAAAATGGCATTTCTGAAATACAGATGTTCCTGTTTATGTTTCATGTACTGCACTTAGGGCTTGAGGGAAATGAAGCATGGCCCATACTAACCCCAAATTTCTTGAGCAGATTATAACATTTAACAGGGTTATTCACAACAGAGTGAAGAGTTTGGAGAAGGCCGGAGAAGTGAACAATCTAGGACAACATAGCTGAACTGGAAAGTGAGCTGAATTGGAGAATGTTTCCAAATCAGCTATGTTGTCCTAGATTGATCACTTCTCCTGCCTTCTCCAAACTCTTCACCCTTTTGTGAATAACCCTGTTAGTATCTGTTGTTAATGGGCAAGGGAGACACTTTGGGGGCTATTTATCAAGGTGTTCGACCAATATTCACACAGCTTACACCTACAATTAACCCACTTGTACATAAGATTCAGGTAGAAAAATGGGTGAATTTTGTATGAAAGTTGGATCCTGGGAGAAAATATTGATAAAGAAACCCTTTTGTGTTTTATACAATCTTGTACATATGCAATCCTTAATGAACAAATATATTTAAAAAATGAAGAGGGAGTGTTTAATAATAGCCAAGCCATGCTGAGGTTCAATACTAGGGATGCACCGATACTTTTCAGATACCAGTGCCGATACTCTGCATTTTCATGAGAACTGCCCGGGTTGCAGCGGTTGCAGCTGGGACGTAGCTCTGGCGCCCCACCACTGTCCTGAAATGATTAGTCTGTATTGTTTTAGAAAAACTGTCACATGACACTAAACAAAAATGTATCAGTACTTGTATCTGTGAGGACTTGGGCAAGTATCAGTACTTGTAGTTGCAAAAATGGTATCGGTGCATCACTTATATATATTTATAAAAACAGAATCATACATTAAAACAGAGATGTACAAATCCCAGGAGCTCCGTGTGCTCCTTACAAATGACAGCTGCCTCCTATCTTGAATTTTTCTCTATTCTAGTCTTGGAGCTGGAAAAGTATCTGTACTTGTACCGAGCACGGTACTTGGTATAGGTGCATCCCTTTTCAATACCTATGGTAACCAGTTAGTGGGACCTCTCATATATTGTATGTAGCATTCAATCCACTCCAAATGGGTATTTCAGTTTGGGATGTTTGATGGTAGATTAGAATCATCCACCTTCTTCTTATATTCCTTGGGATACTGATGAGGAGATATTGAGTTCCCAGCTCCTCCCACATGTTGCACCCATGACTTTGGTCTCATTCTCTAAGCTAGTTAGAGAACTATAGAGAACTTGGATGAGAGGGACAGGAGCAGCACTTCTATTTTGGAGCTGTATGGGTTGATATTGAGTTTCTCAAATATGGAGGATATAGATTCTTTAGAAGAGTCTCTTCTCAGTGATCGTGTCAATTGCTGTAATTTCAGCTGGAATCCTAGTTTGCAAAGTATTGTTATTATACTAAAAAAAAAAAAAAACTCACACGTTTTCATTTTTTTCTGCAGACCAAACCAGCTTTGTTCCAGATTCAGAAGGCGACCTTCTTTTCTTACTGGACAGCTCAGGGAGTGTCACCTACGATGAGTTTGCCAATGTCAAAACGTTTATTGGGGACCTCTTGCAGCCCTTCAAGTTTGGACCACAGGATGTGCAAGCTAGCGTTGTGCAGATCAGCACAGATCCCACTTTGGAATTCCCACTTAACCGTTACACATCCAGCCAGGATGTCCAAAAGGCCATCCAGAACATACGACAACAGATGGGCGACACCAACACGGGCAAAGCTCTGGATTATGTGAAAGAGCAGCTGTATGCGGAGAAGTTTGGCTCCAGGACTGATGTTCCCAAAGTCTTAGTGTGGATGACTGACGGATTGTCCACGGATGACATCTCTCAGTCCATGCAGCTTCTCAAGAACTTGGGAGTTACAGTATTTATTGTTTGCACAACGGGTCGAGGAAATTTCAAAGAACTGTCTGCAGCAGCCAGTCAACCAGATGAGAAATACCTTAAGTTTGTAGATAGTGATGACCTTGGTATCATTACAAAGGAGCTACGGGACTCTATTATTGGTAAGTGGATAGAACTCACAATGATCAGTTTCAGATTTATAAAATGCAAGGTGCTGTATGTATTCTTCAATTCTAATGGCATAATTGCACTATATTGCATCTAAATGGGAAGATGGCAAAGTCAGGTACTGTAAAGCACGGAATTCCTTCAAGTTAACTTGGTCCCCCCAATCACGATTCAGCAGCTCAGCTCGCCCCATCCCCGCAGTGAGTGAGCAGCTTTCAGCCCTCTTAACTCCCATGTAAACCCAGAGCAGGAGCTCTAGGAGGGGAGGCAGGGGGAGCTGAGGGAATTACTTGAAAAACTTGTCCACACCAGTACTTCTGGTGTAAACTTTGAGGATGAAGTGCTCCACAGTGCCTGCAGTGCAAATACAGTGGTCATTGATGACTCGTGTTAAAGCTCACTTACAGGATTTTAAGAAAATGTAAATAGACGAATGCCCACAGTCTGGCCAAAGGGTTACTTTAATATTTTTGGGCTGGTCTCGCTCCTTAAGTTAAAAGCAATTTGCAAAGTACAATAAGCCACTGCAGTCCATTAGAACCCACTTAAATGTTTACAGGTTTCTTAGGAGAACAGTAAAGTGGATTGTTATAGGCATTACTGTAACCACCCTTTAGGTGGTTAGAGGACATGCAACTGACTATTTAAAGGGAATGTGGGAAGACAGGAATATGAAACCTACCGTATTAACTGAAGCTGCCAAGGTTTGTTCATGCTTCAGATGCTGCATACATAAATGGCAGGTAGCACCTTCCCAGTACTTATGGGCCATAATCAAAGAATAGTCAACTGGGATAGGCCTTTTATGCTGGTAGCCCTCATGCATGCTGTGTGGGCTGTTGTGGTCGTAGTTGCACGCCTGAAAAATTGTCTTTCAAATAATCTAGCTCTTTACTTCCATCTTAACACCATCTGATCTGCCCATTCCTTGTAATAACCAAGCTATACAGTGTGTATATGGGCACCTTTGCAAGCAATAATGAGCACGGGCAGCCTTTGGAAACTCTTGTTATCTCAGCAGTGGCTACCTGTGGTGCATGTCATATCAGGGGTAGGCAACCTTGGCACTCCAGCTGTGCTGAAACTTCAAATCCTACAAATCTCTGGGGGTCATTCCTGTGCACTGTCAGGGTCTTGCAATGCGTCATGAGACTTGTAATTTCACAACGGCTGGAATGCCAAGGCTGTCTACCCTTGTGTTGTATCGTGCAATAAAGAGCAAAGACCAACAGCTCAAAGGAACCAATAAAAATCCATCGCTCCCTGCCCTGGAAAATTGAATTCTGATTGGTCGTCTTGGGTCATTGCATTGGCAGATCAAAAGCATTTGGCCGATAGAGCGATCCCATGCACAAGCCGTGTTTACTGAACGTATTTAGTTATTTGTAAGATGTTTATTTTTATTTTTCCCACCAGGCTATTTATATTTTGTGCTGACCAGCAGGCTGTGACGTAGTGAAATATTTATCTTTAGACCTGAGTAAGACGGTGACACACCTTTGGTTACTGGATATAGCTCAAATTTTATAGCACTGGCTGCTGTTTGCAGATCTATGACAAAGCAAGTACGAGCTATTTACACGCACTATAAGAGGTTCAGAGGCGATGTCTCCCAGCGTGGAGAGAAAATCCACACAATCACGTCACCGGCTTGTGATCAACTAAGCAAAGTCACTATTACAATGACATACTATAGCTCAAATCATCAACAAATGTCCAAAATAATTCATGACATTTATGACACAAACTGTTAGTAGCATCAACACAGCATTTTTGTTTATTAGAGTCCCCCGTGTTATTATTTTTTACCTGTTGATCCTGACAGTATTTTTTCCATTTTCTTTAAAATAGGCCAACCTGTCCAGGTGAATTTATACAGGCAGTTTTATTCATATGACCTTAGGGTTAGGGGCACCTAACCTTAAATCTGCTGTAAAAACTGTTAGCTGGAGTTGGGCTTTAATTTGTTTGCCTTTTAATTAAAGCTGATCCCCAGGCAGATACAAATTAATGTAACTGTTGTCACATTACTGTTTTTGTTGTCACATTAAAATGCACCTTTTAGGTCTGAAGGTTTCTTAAGGGCTGGTTTACACCAGCCACAGTGCATTCCGGCCCGCTTCTGTCCGGAACCCACTGGATCGCATTGCGCCCGGCTCACTTTGTTGTGGGGCAGGAGGGGGGCGCGTTGGTGCATTAAAGTGAATGGCACCGCAACCACGCCCTCCAGCTGCAATGCATTTGACCACACGGGAACGCCTGCAGTCCGGTCAGAAAAAATGCTGCAAGCACTATTTTTTCTGGCCAGACCAGAACACAGGCCGGCTCACTTTGTTGTGTGGTGGGAGGGGGCGTGTCGGTGCATTGAAGGGAATGCCACCGCAGCCACGCCCCCCAGCTGCAATGCGATCGACCACACGGGAACGCCTGCAGTCCGGTCAGAAAAAATTGTGCAAGCACTATTTTTTCTGAGCAGACCAGAACACAGGCATCCCGTGTGGTCGATCCCATTGCAGCTGGAGATGGTGGCTGCTGTGTCATTGCCTTCAATGCACCGACACGCCCCCTCCCACCACACAACAAAGTGAGCCAGCCGCAATGCGACCCAGAACGCTCCGGCCAGAATCGGGCCGCAACGCACTGTGGCTGGTGTGAACTAGCCCTAAGGGGTAAATTCACTTTCCCAAGTAATTTGTTAATTATTAGTAATTACCCGCTCAAACCTGGTCCGTTTTCCTCCGCTATATTTACCTTTTTGGCGAATGGTCCTTCCCCTCCACTGGTACGGGTGTTGAGCCGTACCCAGTACTGCTGTCCAGCCCAGCCCTGCGCTATCGATTTTTGAATCAGGTGACCATGCTGATCAATGAGTGCTCACAAAATCCATAGTGTAGGGCTGTGCTGGATAACAGTACAGGGTACGGATAGTACACCGGTACCCGCGGAGGGGAAGGAGCAATCGCCGAAAGTATAGTGGGGGGGTGTCCAGATTTGAGTAGGTAATTCCATTTTTGCAAATGACTTGGGAAAGTGAATTACCCTTTAAATCCCTGAGAATGATATATTTCCTGAAATCGGAGACCCTGTAGAATAAAATGGTGGCAGTTGCAGTTTTTCATGTCGTATGATATTAGTGCAACTGTTTATCAAACCCAAATTATCAGGAAAAAAGTTCACTTAATTGTGTTGCACAGAAACACAGCAAATTACCCAGTTTTTTAAAATATAAAAGATGAGGTTGTGCCGAGTAAATAGATACCAAACGTCAAGCTTCAGAATTGCGTGCGCCCATGAAATGACAAAAACATATGGTACCCGGAATTGTCCATAGGTGACGCTTTAAAAGCTTTTACAGCTCATCAGTTTGGAGTTAACCATGAACAATGGCCCTACAATAATTGCTCACATTCGTGCGTGGAAATACTGAACATGTGTGAAACAATTATTGTTTTCACACGCAGGTGTATTTAATGCATGTTTTTGATAGTATATGCGTGTATACGGGGGCAGGGGACTGTAAAAAAAAATGTTGGGGTGTTTTTACATTATATTTAACTTTATTTTTTAACACATTCATTTTTTTTAACTTAAAGAACTGCGGAGAATTGTTTTCTTAACCCTTGCAGTGGTGCTACCCCGCACTGAAAGGGTTAAATGCTCGTTTTGGTCTAGGAAGGAAAATAACAAAGTTATACTAGCCTGGTAGTATACTAGCCTCGGAGTCGGCTTGCTCTTAGACTGATCCCTGGAGCCTCTCTCCCCTTCCTATGCAGCGGTCTAATGTCCCTCACTCATCACATTCTTTACAAAGTGTATAGGACGTGAAGACGCCATGGGGTAGTCCAATGCTGTGCCCGGCTCCGAGGAACGGGTGAGTATATCTGTTGTTTTCCTCCCAAGACCAAAATGAGCACTTAACCCTTGTTGTGCAGGGGTAGCCCCACTGCATGGGTTAAGTTTAATTTTCAATGGAGTTCTGCTTTATTGCTATCATATAGGGGGCTCAAAAGCCTACGCAATAGCACTTTAGTGGTGAGAGGTTCTCTTTAAGGAGACATTAGCGGTACATTAGACCCCTATCTTCACTTTTGCAGTCCAATGAAGCTGATCAAGCACATATCGTACTTGATCAGCATCTTCCCTGCCCTCTCTGGCTGGGGAATGACAACTCCGAAAGCGGAAGTGCCAAAATCATCATCGCTTCCATGTTCATTCAGCAGGGAATCTCTCTCCCCTCTTTCAGCTAACACCTGCCATGCCGGTCCCTAGCCTGCAGGAGAGTTAGTGCCCCCCTGGAAACATGGTGAAGGGTGTCCAGTTGAGGTGGGGCACATTAAACTGAAAGCCGCCCGAACCACTTCCAGTGTAAAGTTGACAGACTCCAAGCTGCCATAGGGGTTCAAGCTGGGTTATAGTCTATAAAACGTCATTCTTGTTAACGTTTCCTTTCAGAAAATACTAATTTCTTGGTTGCCATGGAAATCCAATAGCTTCAGTACTTTCTAACGTGCTTAGAATTAGCATAAGGATTAGGTGTTCGGACTTGTTGCAAATACTAAAATAAGGAAAGCCAGGCAACTAGCATTTTAAGAAGGAGGATGGAGATGGCAGGGCAGCTGAATATCCCTAATGTGCAGAAAAATACAGAAACGTCGGCAAGACATGGGAAATGAAACCTCCAAAAATCCCCCAGTCTTTCATCCTGCTAGACATCAGAGAGAACCCAACTACAGACGTTTTCTAACATTAGAATAAAAGCACGGGACTGCGTTCCATACATGTGTAAATATATGTAAAGTCACTCCACCACGTCAAGGCGGGCCCCATACTTCTCACGTCAGGTTTCCTTTAAAAACAAGTCAGCAATGGCAGATCCCGTATTTCTATCATCACAGGCTCTCTTTAAACTGTAAATACCATTTCACAGTCCGCTCTACAAATCTCTGATCTCCCCTCACATCTGACAGATTCTCATTATATTGATAAACAGCATTTAGAGTGTTTATGTCCCAGCTACTCAGATCTATAGGACTACAGGGGTACCCTGGGAATTATTTAACCCCCTTTCACACTTGTGAATGGCCCTGATTGGGTTAATCTTGCAAACCGCTCCTGCAGAATCAGCTGGTCCCCTGAACACTGGTCCTGATATCCTGTTTTAGGGTCAGGGGCGTCCCGAGGACGGGTGTCACCTGGTGCGGGTAGCGTGTGGCACTCCGCCATGAGCAATTATGTCATTGTGCATGCGCAGCCATCTTAGTGATACCTAAGCAAGAGGAGGGGACCTTCACCTGGCAGGATAAGGTATGCCTCCTCTCTCCTGCAGCTGTCGGTCTCCCGGTCCATGACCGAGTGCCCGACTTTTCAGTGACTTGTCAGTCATTTTGGTGTCACACCTCCAATGGTGTTACCCGGGTGCGGGCCGCACCCCCCTTGTGACGCCACCGTTTAGGGTGACTCCTTTCCCTTGCAGGGTCCTATGGTGTCACCCTTGTGTGTGCTAGTAAGCTTTGTGTGTCTCCATAAACACACAGGCACAGCAAGGCAATCCACTCTTCTGCTCCCTGCTCTCCCTGCTGGGCTTGTTATTTATTTTATATCATGGAGAAGGTTACTGGAGGAGCTGGATCACATAATGGCGGGCAGGATCACCCAATTTTTTTTTTAAGTGGACAGAAACAGAGCCTGGAATTATGTCAAGGAGACCCAATTGTTGTAATAACAAAGTTATATAAGAAGCTAGGAGCTGAATTCCTTAAAGGGAACCTATCACAAGAAACATGTAGAGCCTGTCATGTATGACCTCCCCTTCTGGTTGCTTGCCTATCATGCTGGTCCGCTTGCTTCAACAATTGGAGTCATTGACCCACAACATGGAGACATATGAGGACTTTTCTGAATTGTGATTTGCATACTTGTTCCAGGTTCAGGAAAAACAAGCAATGGGCAGAAATGGCAGCTCCTGTATTTTACTGATCACAGGTTTACTTTAAATTCAGAATAAAAAGTAGTCACGTAGTCACAATATGCATAAGACTGTACACAGGTGGGGGGGGGGATATAACACATAATAAGATTTAGGCTTATGAGAATACACTATGGTAATGTGATTTTCCTTTGCAGTGTATTATGAAGCTTGGGTGTTTGAAGAAGAGTGATTCTGAAAGATTCAGTTTGGAATAAATATCTAGTTGAGCCCCTTAGCCATCTACAATAAACTGGAGCCTACTAGTGAATTCAGAATAAAATCAATGCTGCCATCTTGTGTTCAGTTTATGGTAATGCAGCTCAGATGTTTTACAGATTATTTTTATAAATCCTCCAGACATTAGGAGAGATGAGAATTCAAATAATTTGAAGACAAAAAAAGTGTGTACATCTTCTTTATATCTTTTGCTTTAATTTCAGAACTGATTCAAGCAAAGAGACTACATGCAATGGATATAACAACTACAGGTTTTCGGCTGATATGGCCAAGACTCCTTTCCAGAAACACAGAGCATTATGTATTAGAATATGCCCCAGTAGCCTATCCGGGGCAGAAGATGCAGCAGAAATTGCCTGGAGATCAGACAAGCTTGGTGTTAAATGGTCTAATTCCAAACACAACCTATCAGGTGACGCTTTACCCCGAATCAAATGTGGATTATGTCAGGACTCAGTCCATCCAAGTCTCCACTCTTCATGGCAAGTATACAAAAAAGCAAACGGGGGTAGTAGTAAATAATGCAATATGTTATGACAGACACATTTATATGCAATATGTTATATGCAATATGTTATAACAGTTCCCACCAAGGACACTATCTGCATGGAGTTTGTATGTTCTCTACATGTTTGCATGGGTATCTTTTAGGTGTTCCCAAAAATGAGAATTATACCAATAGATACATTGGTGTGTGCCTAAGGGCTTGTGTACATGAGCATCTGAGATCTCTCTGAATATATTCGCCTTGCATTTACACTTGGAGGAATAAAAGCAAGGCTCAAACTGACCTTAACAGAACTCATATACCAATGTACACTAGCCAATGTACACTAGCCCAGTATTATCTAAACTATAAGGTTGCCACCAGGAAGAGAGGACTTGCAATCTGCTGCCTGTATTTGTATCTTGCAAAGAAAACCCAATGGATGGTCACAGCAGGACAATTATCTGATGGTTTGCCATTGGATTGATGGAATTAGACAGGTACAAAGAAGAAAAATCTGCCCAGAACTTCAATGGGCAGGAAAGACTCTGGAACTTAATGGTTTAATGTCATGGGGTGGGACTTAGTCCAAGGAAGGGGTATGGCTTACCTTCGACTTGGGCAAGTAAGTCAACAGGCTTGACATGACAAAGGGCTTACCCATGCAGGAAATCATGGGCATAGGATCCAATGTAGCTCCACAATGTGCTTGTACTTCAATGTTGTGACCTTACAAACATTTTAGGCAGTGTTCAGTTCAAGCAGAATGCATACATAGTGCAACCACAAAGGGAATTCCATTGGACCTAATATAAGAATCTGAAGTCAGACGAGCTGTGATATGTTTGGGATTTTTCGTTCCTTTACGAATATAGAATCTTTTTTTGCATTCTTAGAATTAATAGAAAAAAGAAAACTAGAAGCCGATGACGTAACAACCACAGGATTTCGCTTGACATGGTCGAGGTTGTCTGGAGATACGGGGAGCTATGTACTGGAGTACTCAATTGTATCTGATCCAAGAACACAGCTCCAGAAAACTTTATTTGAAGATGAGACCAGTGTGGTACTTAGTCATTTATTACCAAACACAACCTACCAGGTGACGCTCAGCCCAGGTTCCAAAGACAAATCTGCCCAGCCTGAAAAAATCTTTGTCACCACCCTTCCAGGTGAGCTCTGCTTTCTTCTTACATAAATGTATTATTGCATGTGATAATGTGTGCATTATGATGGAGTAATCATTCATAATGCACTGAGCAACCAGGAGGTGACACAAAAAACTGATCAGTAATGCAGGCCATACACCTATAGATTATCTGCAGATTTTCTATGGTCAGGTGGAAAAAGTGCAAGTTTCCTCCATCTACGCTAAACTGTGTGGATGGAGGAATCTCCCACTGGGCCAAGCTTCAGTATCTTGCTAGTCGGTAAAACAAAACACAGAGAGCGCCTCCATCGCGTAAAACCTTTTTAATAAAGTAAATTTAAACAGATGCAAGTAAATTTACTTTATTAAAAAGGTTTTACGCGATGGAGGCGCTCTCTGTGTTTTGTTTTACAGAGTTGAGGTTTCCCTAAAGCCTATTTTTGAGAGCATGCCTCGTTTATGCTTTACACCACGATTACTGCAGACTATCTCCCTACCTGGACTTAAGCCGTTGGCGCTGTGTTAATTACTGTTATCTTGCTAGTCGGCCCCGCTGGCTGTCAAAATACCTGAACAATCTGATTGGATGCAGGCAACCGTTATATCTCCCCCCTGGCTATATTCAAGCTTGGACTTTCTATTTTAACATAAATGGCCTCTTTCACACCTCTTTTGAACCAGTTCTCCTCCCTGTCTAGTCATCAAAGTAGAGGCATCTTTCCGTTAGATGTAGGTACACTGCTGAATCCTGACCGAAGGGTATGGTTTTTCAATGCTGGCTAGGAAATGTTGTACAAGTCACTGTGAATTGAGAAAGTTGACCAGATGACCAGTGAAACGTCTTCGAGAAAAAATACAGCAAGTCCAGTTGTTGATTTTTGATTTTTTACAGATAAAGTGTTCATGGTTTGAGTACTGAAGAGCTTGCTTTCCTAAGTGTTAATGTTCTCTTCTGATTAGACTCTAATATGGAATGTCTGTCTGTGTCTTTATTCACCATCTTTCAGATCTCATCCCCGCAAGAAATCTGAAGGTTCTGAATATCACAATGACAAGTTTTAATGTAACATGGTCAAAGTTAGTGGGCGATACTGGACGTTATTTTTTGGATTACGCACCGCTATCTGATCCAAGGAGGAAGTTACGGAAGACTTTCTATGGGAATCAGACAAATGTAATGCTCAGCAGCCTAATGCCAAATGCCACATATCAGATCACATTCATCCCTGAATCCAGTTTGACGTATATGCAGTCACAGACTCTCCAGGTCACCACCCTCCCAGGTAAGATATCTTTTATCTAGTCTCAGCTTCCACAGGCCTTTAAATATGTGAGTTGATTGATGTTCAGGGCTCTCTCTCTCCTGCTGCTGGGTGCAAAGGCTGACTGCTGGCAGAACACAAACAAAAAGTTACATGCGCTGCCTGTTTGTTTTGGGGAACCTATTAGAGGACACCTTGTTAGTCAGAAACTGGCTTGAGTGTAGTTAATGATTTGTTTGTTTTATGCTATGGACTTCCTGTACAAAACCCACCTTCATTGAACCTTTATTGAACTGTTCCTGGATGTCCCTGTCTCGGCATGGTTTACTGTTGCCAACACCAGTTGAGCCTGTACCCCTTACGAGAGAGAGAAACAGAGAGAAAGGAAGAGAGAATAGAGATGTGGAAGCCATATTTGCTAATCTGGTCCAACTAGTTTTAACTTTTCAGGAAGAATGCTAATTAAATACCATGGTATATACAGAAAACCACAAGGATTAAACCTATAAATCTGTACATGGCTTTATAAATTTACAGAATTGCCTCTCTGATACACAGTCAGTTCAGAATTTTTCTAACCATTTCTTTTACATACTTGATAATAATGCCCAAATTTCATTTTTCACAGATCTGATCACCTCAAGAAATTTGAAGGTTTTGAATGTAACATCAACAAGTTTTATTCTGACCTGGTTGGCACTGCCAGGGGACACAGGGAGGTATACCGTAAATTATGTGCCAGTTTCTAAACCCGCAGTCATATCACAGATGTTTCTATACAGAGAGACCAGTGCGGTCATCAGAGACTTAGCACCAAACACCTCCTATGAAGTCACATTTATCCCTGTGTCCAATGTGCAGTTTAGACAATCACAGACTCTCCTGGTTTCCACTCTTCCAGGTAAGGCGAGTCATTTTTTAGATGAGATTTTGTGCTGTTAAATTTTTTTTCAATAGAAATAGCCTATGTTACTTTATAGGGTCAGGGTAACTGCAGTCAGTTAAAGGAGTTGTCCAAAGATAAAAATAGTCAAATTAGAGCATGCCTTCTTTCTTGTGTCATCCTATTGAGGAAGAATGCAATTTGCCTCTGTTGATAGACTAAAAATAGCTAAAGCTAAAACTTTTGGGGGGGGATAAAGTAGAAAGTGCAAACATTTCATACAGGGGATGTTTGTGACAACTCTTAGGAGGAGAGAGGAGGAAACTTAATCTAGAATTAACTAGATAGATGAATATGGTGGAGCTCAGAAGTTACCAAATACCATACCATACACCTAACAATGTGAGCTTAAAACCTCTAATTTCATAAGGAATATATATAAGAAACAGATAATGGATGGCATGAAAATGGACTGTACTTATAGATGGTCTTTATTGCTTACATAAATAAACATAAAAATTGTTGGTGGTGGCTCCAATAGACCTCTAAATATTATATATATTACAACGATATTGGAATCCATCAATCCCATGAATTGCCTTGTTTATATATAGCATTAATTTTTTATTATCCCGCCTTAAGTGGAATACACATCAAGTCTGTTTTTTGTCTTGCCAGTATGATAGATTATGGTGCTCACTATTTAGTTGTACATTTGATGAGACTCAGTACTGCTGAACATGTTCTTTACGTGGATATAGGCAGCACATACAGTATATTAGCCAGTTCATGGGACTGATGGATTCCAATACTGTTGTGGTTTGCTGGAATACAAATATATTTTGTACACGTAACAGTAATTAATAAATGAACATTACAGTTGTGTGTGTATATATATATATATATATATAGTAGAGCAGGACCTGAGCTGTCTATCTGCTAGCTGTATATCTGTCTATCCTGCAGATTACACAGCGAGTATGCAGATCTCCCTGTGATCATCAGAACTACGTGAGAGGCAGGCACTGTGCTCTGTTTATCAGATGCACCCAGAGCTCCTGATACAGAGCAGGCAGTTGTCACAGTGACAATGGAACAAATGCAGCTGGTTGCACAGGGAGAGCTCTGGTCTCCCAGTGTAATCTGCAGGACTCAGCTGTCAGTTTGAGAGCTCAGTCCTGCCAGTACAGGACGCGGCTGGGCGAGAGGCTCCTGCCTCAACTGCACCACCCACTGCACAGCATCCAAAGAAGGTGCCTCTTCTACCCCTGCATTGGACTGGACCTCCTCCAACCATGCCATGTTTAGAACTGGTCACCGAGGAATGCTTAGTACAAGTCAGATTGCCACTAGGGCTAACCTACTTCCAGGATGTCCTTGGTAAGTTTCTTTGTCTTTGTGACATTTGATACGAATAATATGAATGTCTTTTGATATTTTCACAGTGCTTGTCCAAACTAGAAAATTCGAGGCTGTTGATGTAACAGCTACAAGCCTACGTTTGGTCTGGTCACAGTTGCCTGGAGATGGGGAACTTTACACTCTAGAGTATTTCCCAATTTCTGATCCAAGGTTGACACAAACACAGAAGATTTTATATGGCGTTGAGACTAGTGTGATGGTTGGCGGTCTACTGTCAAATACTACTTACCAGATCACACTCTATCCCCAGTACAGTGTCCAACATGCTCAACCTGAAGTCATCATGGTGTCCACTAAAATAGGTAGGTTTTAATGCAGTGTTTTGCTAAATATTGATTCCTTTCTATTGGGGTTTGAATCCTCACTTTGAATGATATGTGGTTTGGTTCAAAGACGGACCACATGGATCCCATAGAAAAGGACAGTTGTGTTTCATAGTTGAAATTACTGTGCTCTATTTAGTTAATTGTAAATATCACTAGAGGAGGTAGGTATGCCTACTCTTGCAAGGGCTAGTAGGCACTAGAGATGGCATGCAGAGGCCTAATGATAGAACATGTTTTGTTCTGAGGTATTTATAGTATGTGTGATGAAAACCATATCACCCAATGTTATTCTTCTTTGGATTTTATTTTCTGTTGTTGGCTTTGGATCACAGCATCCTGAATATAATAAAACTGATACTATAAGGTAGATCGAACCAGTGGTCATAGCTGTCTGTTACCATTGGATATGGTCTGAGAGACCTTTGTCTTGATTAGATGTTGGCTGTCTCAGTGACTGACCAATTTTTCAAACTTCTTCTTTAATGGATGCAGCAGTGAACAAAGGCATAGCCATGTGTGATGGACTGAAACGTCACTGGGGCTGCTGGAGGAGGCTGGGGGCTAGCCTCCTTCCTACGGACTATCGACCCAGAACTATGGAGACCTCCTCAGACCTCTTGGGGTTACATGGAACCATTCTACTAGGATATGTGTGGAGTGGGTATACTGCATGTTTCCCCCGACATTACAGACACACACCACTGTGCTCAGTGTAGGCGGCCGGCTGTCTGGAGGGGCCATTGTTTGGGATGATCTAATTAAGGACATTCATTAAGTTCAAAGAGTGTCAAAGCTTAAAAGACTTCCATTGCGGCACCTAGCTGTCTGGGGGAGGGGGCACACTGAACTCTAATCTGATCCTGTGAGGTATAAACTCTGTGTGCTTCCTTCAATAAAGCAGATCTTGGTTTCCACCTCAACATTGGTGTTGTCTGATGATTGAGGAGTTTAGCTTTCTGTCCTAAGATATTGGTTCTGTCCAATAATTAGGCAGGTTTGGGCTGAGGACACTGGAATTCAGGTTCCAGCGGAGAGGAAGCTGATTCCTGACGGAGGTACGCTGTCGGGGGAACCAGGTGCTCCGTCACACCATGTACCAATAGTCCCTAAACTTGAGATCTGAAAGTAAAACTGAAGCCAAAACATTTTTTTGCATAGAGTAAGAGCCCTGTCAGCTAAGCCATCTGTGTCCCATTGGGGGATTTCCCTTCACTTCCTGTCGTATAAGCACAACAGGAATTGAGAGAGAATCTCACCAAATTTAGGGGAATGCCTGGTGGTCAGTAGGGTCACCAGAAATGGTGTCCCCATTGAAAGATTTTCTGTCTATCCCTGTTCTGTTGGCAATCTAAAATTTGGAATTTTCTAACACTTTCAGTGATAATGATCACCGGGACATATAGAGAGGGTGAATTTCCCTAATGGTGACGTAGACAGCAATAAAAACCTGACATGTGTTCTAATCCCACTCCACCTTATCCAAAACTAAAAAATAGTCACACATAGGCCATATAAGTAATGCTACCAAGTGAAAGCAACATGAGGAAATTAAGCTTACTGAAAGATTTGTAGCCTTTATAAAATTATAAGGCAGTGCAGTGGCTGTAACTGTATTTTGCTCTTTTATCGTAGACCCGGTCCATGAAAGAAATCTACAAGTAAAGGACATAACCTCGACTAGTTTTTCGGTAACATGGTCAAGGCTGCCAGGGGATTCAGGAAGTTATACTGTAGAATATGCACCGGCATCCGATCTAAGGGGAATGTTTCGAAAGACATTGTCAGAAAATGAGGACAGAGTTCTGATCGATGGCTTAACCCCAGATAACACCTACAGAGTCACGCTTATCCCAGAATCCAATGCACCAGACATACGGGATGTAACAATCCAGGTCTCCACTCTCCCAGGTAAGCTTGATACATTAAAGAAGAACCCGGGAAAATAAAAAATTTACCCCTGCAGTGGGGGTACCCCCTCACAGCAAGGGTTACATACTTGTTTTGTTTAGGGGAATCAAGTAAAACAGCTTTACCTACCTGATCACAGCTCCCGCTGGGCTGCTAGACCAGTTCTTGAAAGTCTCTTCTCCCCTGGGCTCTGGCAGGCTAAGGACTACTGGCACCATCATATGTAATGCAGGTCCATTGACCTGCATTAGACGCGAGGATGCCTAAGGACATTCCATAGCCGGAGTAGAGAGGGGTGAGTGCTAACTGCCATAAGACAGAGGATCAGGCCAGTCAAAGCTGCAAAATTATGAGGTTGTTGCATACAGTCTATTTTTTCCACAGCTACTGGGTGTGTGAGCTTGAGAGCGTCTTACCCATTATAACTATGTTGACTTTAGTCTATGTAACAAAATTAGAGTTTCTTTGCACTTCACCAATATTTTTTTTTCCAGATATTATCCTAGCAAGAAACCTCCATATAAAGAATAAAACATCGACTAGTTTCCAGCTGGCCTGGTCGCGATTATCTGGGGATACAGGAAACTATGTCATAGAGTATGCACCAGCGACAGATCTAGGGAAGAAGGTGCAGAAAACATTATACGGAGATTTGACTAGTGTGGTGTTTAGCAGTTTGACTCCAAGCACCACCTACGAAGTGACCTTCACCCCTCAATCCAGAGAGTCCAGTGCCCAATCACAGACTATGAAGGTCACCACACTTGCAGGTAAGAAATGAACACGCCAATCATTGTAACTCAGATAAGAATTAGGTATATTGCCAACATAGGCTGTGACCTAGTGCATCAGGGGTATGCAGACCACAGCCACCCATACATCATGTCATTATCTGTAATATGTTCCCTTGCTCTGAGTCCTACACCTAGAACCGTAATTTGAAAAGATTGAACACATCTTTTGGAATTACATTAACACGGTAAAGCCTATATGAGATTTTAGTGATTGGGTTTAGATCTATCTATTTATGGTGAACACTGGCTTGGTTGGCTGGTAGAACTGGGAATTTATATGCCAAAATATTACCACCAAAATGCTCATCCTCACCAGCAGCGTTGGGTGATTTCTCAGCTCTACCAGCCAACCAAGCCTGTATTCACCGTAAAAAGTTGATGTAAGCCCAATCACTAACAGGGTTATTCACTAAAGGGTAAAGAGTTTGGAGAAGGCAGGAGAAGGGAACAATCTAGGACAACATAGCTAAACTGGAAAGTGAGCTGAATTGGAGAATTTTTCCAAATCAGCTATGTTGCCCTAGATTGTTCACTTCTCCTGCCTTCTCCAAACTCTTCACCCTTTAGTGAATAACCTGTAAAATCTCCTACAGGCTTTAACATGTTAATGTAATTTTAAAAGTTGTGCTTCATTTTTTAAAATATGCAGATTTAATTAAATTAACCCCTGGTGCTTCTTACATGAAGGTCCTTGTTTAGTCACTTCCTGTTATAGGTTGACAACGGTGTGCCCAATGGTGCTTCTGCATTGTCATGTGCATTCCTGGTGGAGCCTACCAGCCTCCGTGAGCAGGCATGGTCCACTGTCGTCCCTACACAGAGACAAGACAGAAAGTCTTGCTTTGTATAGAGTCCTGTTCACACCAATGCCCTGCGTTGGTGTGCATTGCGTATAAATGATGCAATAATCCGCTCGTGTTATCCAGGAAATATTGTAAATCCAAAAACGTACTGCCAAAGCCAAAAAGCAGGATATTGTTTACACTTACCTAATTTTCTTGCAGTGGGGGTGTTGCTTATATGCAAGCCCAGTGACAGCCACTCTTATAATCTACAGTATATCTGTCTCTTTGACATCATACCAACTGGCAGCACAACTTGTGCAGAGCAGGAAAATATTTTCCCGACTCTTACATACTAAGGAATGGCCACAAAAATGCATGTGTGCACATTTTCTCTGCATGGGATGTCATGAAAAGGTATTTTTTTGGCACAAATTGAATTACTGTTTTTACAAATAATATATTGTGTTTGGCCATTTTAGATGCAAACTCTTTAATGACAACTCACACAGCTATTGTATTGTCACAGAATTGATTCAAAAGAGAAATCTTCATGGTTGGGACATATCAATGTCGGGTTTCCGACTCACCTGGTCAAGGCTTACAACAGACAGGGGCCGATATGTTCTGGAGTATGGTCTGGTATCAGATCCACGGAAGAAGCTGAGGAAGATGTTGACTGGTGATGAGACCACTGTGCTGATTGGCAATCTAAACCCAGACACCAAATATCAGGCTATGCTGTATTCTGAAGCCAATGTTCAATATGTCCCTCCGCAGTCCATCCAGATTGCAACCCTCCCAGGTAATTTATCCAATGGCGAATGTATCTATAGAGGCAAGCAGTGATTTTGAATGGGCCGTTTATAGACTTTGTGTTACCTACCAGATACAGCCTTATGTTCTGAACACTTCGGGGGGTGTAGACCACTGGGGCCACTACCAGTTGGGGACAGTCCATATAAAGGAACCTCTTCAGCCTTATTCCGTGAAGAAAATCCTAAAGTAGTTTTAACGTACAGGGCTTGGTCATGCCATGTCAATCAGGCTGCACATGTATAGTGTGAACAGGGTACATAGAAAACAATTGTTTCCTATGTGTCCTGTTCACACCATACATGTGTGGTGGTGTACAGGAAAACGCAGCTTGACAGACATGGCATAAACAGGCCCTAAAGCTGAATTCTAGGCGGATATAAGGGACACAAGATAATTATACTCTGCGAATATTATAATATAATTAAATGTACGTGCTTTACATATATAGTTTAAGTATCTACATTTGACCTGATAACAGCCTCTTGAAGTCCATGTAGAGCAGGACTGAAGTGTGAGAGGAACAAGATAAACAAGGAGCCAGTGGTTTTATGTTGGGACATGAAACATGCTGATAGGAGATAGCAGAGTGACAGAGAGATGAGCTCATCACCGTGCTGCTCCTCCCTTCGCTGCACAGTCACAGGTTTAGGTGGGTGCAGGATGACCTGGGTTCAGAGAAAGTGGGTAAATGATATTGGCCATCAGAGTAAGAACATATAATGGCAGAAAAAAAGTAGTGCAGGTGTAGATTGACAGTAAATATTGCAGCTAAAACTGGTTTTCTATATTATCTTTTAATTACCTTCCATTTATGTTTATCTTATATGTTTCGCTGGATTTCTACTTTAAAGTATATCTAAAGCCAAAACTTTATTTTTATTGTAGTGAGTATAGGGAATAGGTAAAATCTGTCAGTTTCTGTTTTGTTTTTTCAATTTGTTTGCCATCTGTGTCCCATCAGGGAGATTTTCTTTCACTTCCTGTTATGTAGGCACAGCATGAAGTTAGAGCAAATCCAAAGTGAGTGCCTTCTTAGACAGTCATGCCTGAAAGAAGTGTCCCCCATCGAAGGATTTCCCCATCTGTTCTGTTCTGATGACAACTCAAAATGTTGGATGTTTCCTCAGGTTCATTTCCAGTAAAAGGGGTCACCAAGACAGAGAGAGTAAATTTCTCTAATGGGGTCAGACAGCAGTTTAAACACGGGAGAGGTTCTATCCCTGCACCACTCTATCCAAAACTAAAAAGTACATTAAGATGCTTATTAAATTGTAGTTTGTGATCCGATGCTTAGGGTATATTAGTACAATGTGAAGAATCTGGTAACCTGGAGAGATGTGTTGATAATCTGCCTTTACTTCCATTTGCAGAACAACTTGGTCCGGCTCACATTTTGATATCTGACCCCACACCACACAGTTTCCGGGTAAGCTGGGGCCCTCATCTGGACAGTGTCATTGGCTATGAAATCCAGTATGGACCACTACCCAGCAATTCTGTGCAGAAAGTCCAGGTGGACAGCCGATTCAACAGTACCGTTATAGAAGGCTTAAACTCCAATACCACATACTTAGTCACAGTGTCGGCCATATTTAAAACTGGTGGGGAAAAGGCCTTGTCTGCCATGGCCTGCACAGAGATCAGTGAGTATCTACAGAGAAAATGATCTGTTATAGAAATACAAAATGTGTAAGTAGATAATGACAACCAGGAAACCAGAATTTGTAGAAGGAAAGGTCAGCAATGGTAGCCTACATTATTTCTTCCATCACTACATAACATTAGCAAGCATTTACCTAGTACTGTCTGTAGCTAGTAATATGCTTTTGGTGGGTTTCTTTAGCCGTTTTGTTTGCTCAAAGTCTGTTGCGGTCTGCTAAATTCTTGCTTTAAGGGGACCCGCCAGGACAGAAAGATAGAAGCTATCAATGCCGACTTGTTTTCAAAGGTGTTGGCTAGAGGTGTCATCCCAATCCCAGGCACTAACCTGGAACAAGTATGAATGACATTATTATGGATAATCAACATCCTTATGGAAAGTCTGCTCTGGCAAATGTTAAACATTGTTGAAGTAATCTATATTTAATTGTTCATCAAGTCTCAATTGCAATATGTTCTTCCCAAACAGGTGGCACTAAAGTGAAGTACCTGCGCATTGAGGACCTGCAGTCCAACAGCCTAAGGGCCATTTGGGGCTCTGCAGATGGAAATGTACAGGGCTACAAGATAAGGTGTCGTAGACAAGCCGGTCGCTTGTCTGCAATTAGTGTGGCTCCTGAGACTCACAGTGTACAGTTAACAGACCTGTCTGAAGGGACCACCGCTAAGATCTGTGTTAAGCCGGTATATAAGAATGGTGCTGGAAAAAACCTGTGCAAGAAGGTGCAAATGCATCCAAGTAAGTGACAGAACTGACAGTTGTTCCAAAGAGACATGGGGATACACAATATGGTCAAAAGTATGTGGACTCTACTCCAAATTATTGAGTTCTGGTGTTTCCAGTGAAGGATTCTGTTAAAGGAGAACTATGAGGCGAGTGACTTCCACTCATCCTCATAGTTTGAGCCGATGTGTGACAAAGAAGCTGCCACAGGTCGGCTATATAGATCTGGAAGTGAGCGAACACATACCGGCGATCGTTCACTTTCTGATCATCTCCCTGCAGAGAGCAGTGACTGTCAGTCACCGCTCCCCGCAGGGATTCCCCCCTCTCCGATCCTCCAGCGCTGACTGGAGGAATGAACGGGGAGGGGGCGGGCACAGCTGGCTCTGACTCTAGATAGGCAGAGCCAGCTGTCACTCACGCAGCTGGGTGGATCCAGACAGTATTGTCGTGATCCGTTCCGGCTGCGGTGCTTTCAGTATATTGTGGGCAATGGCCCGCTATATACTAAGCTTTGGGTCATGGGAGGAGGTTAGGTTGTCCTCCCGTGACCTTAAAGAGAACTATGGGGAAAAACACTTACCCCATAGTTCTCTTTTAATGTTACAGCTTACAAAGACATTTTAGACAATGATGTGCTTCAAACGTTATGGCAGCACCTTGGAGAAGGCCCTTTTTCCTGTTCCAGCATGACTATGCTCCTGTGCAAAAAGCCAACTCCATAAAGACATGATGTGATGAGTTTGGTGTGGAGGAACTCAAGTGGCCCGCACATAACCCTAAACGCCTTTGGGATGGAACTGAACACTGATTGTAAGCCAGGACCTCTTGTCCAACATCAGTATTTGACCTCACATTTGACCTGACTGAATGAAAATGTCCACAGACACGCTCCAAATTTGTGTGGGTGAAGCCTTCCTAAAAAGAATGAAGCTTGTTATAGGTAAAGGGTGATGGGTAACTCCATATTAATGTCCATGATTGTGGAATGGGATGTCCATATCATTTTGGCCATATAGTGCACCTTTAGGAGTTTTTTAGAACTGAGGAAACAAGTTCAAGGAAAAAAAGAGAAAGCTGGGGAATGAAGAAGGTTACCCTTTGTATTGCTACAACAAAGCAAACATGTCAGGAAAATGAAAACCAATCCCAGCCCTCACTGTGGACTAGGCACTCTCTGGTTTTTACATTTACACTTACGGCTGTTGCACCTGAAAGTCCTCCAGAAAATACAGAGAATACCCAATATCATCTGTATTTGCACGTTGGCATCGCATCTACCACCCATGTACCAGCTCTTAGGTCCAGCAATTGGTTCCTCAGGCCCTAAAATCTTCACTGGGGAAGCATGGGAGAAATATTACATGTTTATCCATATCTGGAAGTATCAAGATTTTAAATGGAGCAGTACAAGGAATAAGGGTATCAGTGCTTAGGATACGGAAGGGGTGGGTTTCACTTTTTATATTCCTGACAAGTTTTCTCCAAAGTAGACCAATCCTTAAATTTCATGTGAATCAGTAAAGCAGGTCACTGATTCCAAATCACATTATTATTCATTTTTGGGGGGAGGGGTTAGTTAAGGTGGTTTTGGCTAGACAAAGGAAAATCAGGGCTAGGCAGTTATAATAATGATAATGGAGATTATGATGAAGATTCAAAGCAATGCAAGATGATGATGGTTGCAAAAAATGATTTATAATGATAATGGATGATGAGAGGTAACTATTGACTATGTGATTGAACATGAAGGTAATGTATGATGATTGTCTGCCATTGATACTGATGGATGATGGATAATAGTCTACTATGACATTGATGATGTGGATGATGACTAAGTGCAGCTGATGATAATGGAGTTGTTGATTGCTAATATTGGACATGATTTGGTTGTGATGATGGCAATTGATGATTTATGATGGTGCCTGATAGTAGGGAATAAGGAATGACAATGATAACTGCCTGTAATAATGGGTCACGGTGAATTTTATTTGATGAAGGTAGCAATATGATGTTTCAAACATCACAGGTTCTAAGGAATATTTCCAAATAGGTATCAGACTGTGAAAATGAAATCTCTGTTTTTTCCCCTGGTTGTCTGCTCTTATCTCTGGAGAAGAAGTTAAATAATAAGAGCAGCTGAACCCAGCTTAGAAGGAGTTAGATCCTCAGCATGAAATTATGCATCTGTCTCCCAGATAAAATGGGGGCTAGATAAAGGGGGGGGGGGGGCAGTAGTTACATTAAGCATTCAGTGTGATTCTGGATCAAGCAATATCCTTCACAAATGCAGAAGGTTCACTTCACACCATGAAATTGTTTCTCAGCATTTGGTTAAATAGAATTCTACACTCCGGATAGGATTACTGTTAATTCCGAGAACCGGCTTACCTGTCTATAAATAAGAAATACAATGCATAGTAAGCCACATCAACTTACACTGTGCTAGCTTTGTTTCAAAACCATGGTTGCTGAGTTTATGTTTGGTATTATACAGTAATTATGAACAACTGGATGTATTCTCAGACACTTAGGAGTAAATCCTATGGCGGCCATAGTTAAGAAGGAACTACGGGCAAAGCACAAAATCAAAAATATCAAGCAGACCAAAAAGAGAATAACGCATCGATTGGAAGTGCACAGGTTAGGAAGAACCAGTAGGGGCTTAAGGAATATATCCCCCGTGACCTGCTGTGGGAGTGATAAGCTTGCATATATTGGCGCTGTCACTGTAGAGTGACAAGATCTGTTCCTTGGTGAGCATTCATGGCTCCTTCTTCTAGGTTCATTTGGATATCGCTGCTCTGTATATAGCACATAGCAGATTTTTTGTGAAGGCCATAAAGGTCTATACCTTTCTTTTGTAAATCTGAGTCACTGGCCTGGAAGAAGCATGCCAAGTCAGAGTAAAGTTTAAACTCCTAATCTCTATACTTCTTCCAGATCTATGCCTCAGATCAGTATGACAGCCATGCATCTAACATCTTTAGAAGTTTTAAAGCCAGGCATCAGACATTTTTAGGATGAGGTCACCAATGGCATCCTCCATTATAACTTACTCTAGGCGTCCTTTAATAATAGACTTTCCATTTTCTGATTGATGTCATTTTAAACTACATCTATCTGGCTGCTCACTATATTGCCTTAGATATGTGGACATCCCTCCAAATTTTTGTGTTCAGGTGCAGATAGACAAAGCCAGCTCTATAAAGATATGGTTGGATGAGTTTGGTATGGAGGAACTACAGTGGCCTGGATAGAGCCATGACTTCAACCCTACTGAAGACCATTGGAATGAATTACAACTAATTGCAAGACACGTCATCTTGTTTAACATTAGTACCTTACCTCACAATTGTTCTTTTGGCTAAATGGGCCCAAATTCTCACAGAGACACTCCAGAATCTTTGGGAAAACCATCCTGGAAAATTGGCACTGGTATAGCCACAAAAGATGTGTGTGGGGGGGATTGGGATGCCTCATGTTAATGCCCATGGTTTTGGAATGTATGTGATATCCAACCCGCTCATATAGGTGTGGTGGCCTTGTGATCACAAACTTTTTGCCATATAGTGTATATCAATGCTGTTGTACCTGTTGTGGAAAACACTTGAATTTTGATGTTTCAGTGTGCATCATGGAGACCCGTAGAAAGCACTAATGCACCAGTAGTGCATAACCCGTTACACCATAAGGCTAGCGGAGACTGATTCGTTCTTTTTACAGCAAAGAATTGCAAAACGAATATTAAAAATAAATGCCAATGCGCAATAGCACGCCATAATGGGTTATAAAAAAAAACAAAAACATTTTTACATCAGATGTGAATTCAGCCTAAAATAACTGAAATTTCTATCTCCTTAGGAACGCCTGCAAACAGATACTCAAGAAGAGCACAATGAGCACGAAAGTCTTGGAAGTATAAGGTAGCCTCATGTATGTTTACAAATCGGACCTTGATGTTTAAGAGGAAGAGTGGACGAGCTTAAGCAGTCTTCTGTACAATGGATGATCCCATTGGTCAATGATATATCATGTGACCACCCTAAACCTGTGCTTTTTATTCATAACCACTTTGAAAACTGTTTCTAACACAATCATTTCATCTTCATACAACATCCAGGAAAGGAGACATGTTATCCTGAGCGAAGATTATTAACAGGGGGATAAAAATGGACTTCCTGTTTGAAAATGGGTCAAATATGGCTGATAACATTGTGCTTCTTCAGCAAGCAACCATGATAAATGTTGTATTGATGTAAATATCAGCGAATAAGGAGACAATCTGTTACGGAAATGGTATCTTCTCTGCACAGGGAATTGCTAACAAGGTTGGAAGAAAAGACTATGCTTGCAGAATGTGCAGGAACAACTTCACTGGACGCATACGTAATAAGTTTAGGCTTTTTTAAAGAGTGAAAAGCGCAGTGGTGTACTTACCTGTGGCGTTCAATCAGAAGCCAGCTTCCAGCAGCTCATGGCGGATTTAGTTAACAACAGCTGTTTCTGATTGGTTCCTATGGGTTAGGCATTTTATTAATTGCTTTCAGCTTTATTAAATGACCTTGATGTTTCATATTAGAAAACTTGAAGTATTATTTGAAAGCTAATCTCCAAGGAGAGAAAATTAAAAAAAAAAAAAAGACCATTCTTCCACTCCTCTCCCCCCTACCTTTTATATATTTTTTCTTTTAAACAAAAACAATTATCTAAAAGCCCAAATTATGTAGCAAATCCCCTAGTCACAAAACTGGTCTGGTCCCAGGTCTTCTTTTTTCTGATCTGTAGTGTTGGAGGGCATGGTCTGCGGTGCTCTCATTGGCTGCCACAAGTGTCCATCACTGGGTCCTCCTAGGGTTCTCAGTATTCCTGCTTGATGTTATGATGAGGAGTGGACAGAAGAAAGGTTGGCTTAGCAGTGGAGAGCGAAGAGAGTTTTTGATCATTGGATGGAGCTACCGGAAGAGGAGAACAGGAAGCTACTAAAAAAAGATCCTGGAGGATCATGTGACAGTGGATGAATGAGAGTTTTCTGGGTTATTGGGGCATTTACTTAAAAATAAAAGCAGATGCAACGCAGAATTGTCCAGGTGGGGTGGGAACAAGGTGTTATCTAAGGAGTACAATGTGCAGAGGTTAAGTAACCCATGACATCCAGTCAGAATTCTTTTTCTAGCAGCGTGCAGTTTGTTAGATGAACAAAAGCTGTTTCTGATTGGCTGCTATGGGTTAGCACACTTTGATCATTGTGTGTTGTATTTTTTAATTGACCTCCATGTTTCTTATGAGAAAACTTGAAGTTTACTAAGTGAGAGGTGAAAGCAGACTTGCTTTATTGTTCTTCAGCCTCAAATGTCTGAAAATAAGTGATTAGTAAGAAGGACACTCGACTGTAGTCAGGAAATGCAGCAAAAACGCAGTTTATTAAGGGCAAACACAAAAAGTCTCTTTCCATCAACAGGTGGAAAGATGGCAGATTCGCCCATCACTTCTATCAAGAGCTAGCATGCTTGCCAGGAAGCAGCCAAGCAGCCGTATCTGAGGCTTCTCAAAGATATTTTATGTTCTGATAGATGTTGTTACAACATGAGTTGAGATTTATCAGCAACACGGATATCATGCTTTAAAACTCTGGTGCTAATTTCATTAGGACCGTTTTGTCCCGGCAGCAACTTTAGGCCAAGCTGTCAGTATTACTAAATTTAACATAATTATTTTCAGGCATGAGAACTGCTTTTCACCATTCTAGAACAATGCACTTAGAAAGGTGTTGAAATTGTACGTCTGTGTTTTGCATTGCTAAGTTAAAAGAGGACCTGACACTGTTTTGTACGATGTAAGCAATGGTGATGTAGCGAGCTCTGTAATTGCACTGCAATATGATTGGCAATTACAAAAATAAATATGTCTGCAGAAAACCCTATTGTCTATCTGTGTTGTGTGTTCCGAATGTACCCCCAGTGGAAGATTTCCCTGTACCTCTTATTCTGGCGACAAATCAAAAATTTTTAGATAACTTTGTGTTCCCACTTGGAGAGAATGCTCAGCAGGAATTCTCAACCACACTCCCTAGTACATGTAGTGGCCTACCCATTCATATATTTTTTTCTTTTAAACAAAAAAAGTATCTAAAAGCCCAAATTAATTTAGCAAATACCCTAGTCACCTAACTGGTCGGGTCCCAGGTCTTCTTTTTTTCTGATCTGTAGTGTTGGAGGGCATGGTCTGCGGTGCTCTCATTGGCTGCCAGAAGTGTCCATCACTGGGTCCTCCTAGGGTTCTAAGCATTCCTGCTTGATGTTATGATGAGGAGTGGAGAACGAAAAAAGTTTTTGATCATTGGATGGAGCTACCAGACATGGAAGCTACTAAAAAAAGATCCTGGAGGATCATGTGACAGTGGATGAATGAGAGTTTTCTGGGTTATTGGGGCATTTACTTAAAAATAAAAGCAGATGCAACGCAGAATTGTCCGGGTGGGGTGGGGTGAGAACAAGGTGTTATCTAATGAGTACAATGTGCAGAGGTTAAGTAACCCATGACATCCAGTCAGAATTCTTTTTCTAGCAGCGTGCAGTGTATTAGATGAACAAAAGCCGTTTCTGATTGGCTGCTATGAGTTGGCACACTTTAATCATTGTGGGTTACTTTTTCTAATTGACCTCCATGTTTCTTATGAGAAAACTTGAAGTTTAGCAAGTGAGCGGTGAAAGTATATTTGTCATGAACTCTAATGTTCTTCAGCCTCAAATGTCTGAAAATAAGTGATATCATTAACATAGGACATAAGACACGATATACAGTATATGCTCAGCAGGATTTCTCTATCACACGAGACCACACTCCCTAGTACATGTAGTGGCCCTGCTAATACACTCAGTGGGGACACATATACACAAACTCCTTTAGTGACCGGCTTAATTATCAATATATTCCTAACATTACAGAAAAAGTCATCTATGGTTTTACATGAATTAGTTTATTGAGCACATTAATATATTAGTACACTCACAAATCATATTCATAATAGAAGTACACTGATAAATCACATAAATTATACCTGAAGTAAAGAGGTCCGAGCTTAGTGATTTTAGGTTGTAAAAATCTTTTGATGCCGTTTTCTGCATCCTGGAAATTGTCAGAATTAATTACAGGTTATGCGATCAGCATCCTTTAACGTCATTGCCAGGTATTCATCTTGGGACTTATTATTAAGCAGAAACAAATGGAGTGGAGAGAACACAATTGTAGCACTGCGTGAAGCCAAACCTTTTGTTGGCTTTACTTCTCTTTTGGGTCACAGGAGTTAATTTACTAATGTACTCCTGTGACCCAAATTCGGCATATAGCAGGCCAATGCTGGCTATATGCTGACAGCGCAGAGCTGTGCTGCACCCAGCTGCCTGATTGACAGCTAGCTCTGCCTCACTAGAGCACCAGCTGTGTCCCATCTGTCCCTCCAATCAGCGTTGTAGGAACAGAGAGGGGAAATCAATGCGGGAAGCATTGACCGAGTTATCAGCGGTTACATGATTGCTCAGCTATCAGTATAGAGCCAGCATGTGACAGCTGCAGTGTCCCCCACCAGCTCTAAGTATTGGGAAGAGTATATTTGACTCTGTTCATCGGCAGGGAGGTGGCTATGACTAGACTGCAGCTAAACCACCTGAGAGACACATCTATCCCAGGATCTAATCTAGAAGGCTATGGGGTAGGTCCTTCACCTGCAAATGGTCATTGTGAGCACCATACGCTCACTTCAGGGTCAAGTTAGGGTGGGTCAGGGGCAGGACAATTTCCTAATGACAATAATAGTTATCTAGCACTAGCTGTGCTCTGAAATAACTGCAACAAAAACATCTAGATCTTCTTTGTTAAAATCCTCTATGAACCATTAGCAACTTGAGAAAACAATCTATGCAAGCAAGTGATTTGTAGTAGACTGATGCCGTGGATTACTGCAACCAGACAATATAGTCTACTCTCAACAACCCTGAGATAATCTTTACACACACCGATCTCATTGGTCTGCCCTTGAATCTTTGCCCCAGACATCATCAGATAATGTGCTACAGTCCTTGAAACTTTGTATCTTTTGAAATATTGTTGCTGCAACTTATTTTTGACTATTCACCAGTGCTCCACATTGTTACAGTAAATAGAAACTATTTTGTCTCCCCATTTACACAGGCTCCAAGTGTGTAATCTTTAGGTGCTCCTGAAAATCCCTGGAGGCAGCAGAAAGATCCTGACGGTAATTGTAAATTGACTGGTAATCCTTGCTGCTCTTCAGCAATTCATTGTTCTTGCGTGCTTCGTAATGGAACTGTGAGCCTTTCATCTCATACCTGCAGAACAGATGGAAATGATGTCATTTCTGATCAGAATATTTTAGCATCCTTGATAAGGTTTCCATTGTTGCTGCTATGAGCCCCCCATTACAAAAGGGATGATTAGCAAAAATAAGCTTCAAAGTGATGGAAGTTCTTAAAGTGACACTAAACTCAGGAGTGAGATCTTAAAAATGCATTCAAATACCTTAACTGTGAACAAAATTGTATCTTATTTGTGTATCACTCAGCTGCAGATTGTCAAATCATCTCTCACACTGGGCCAAGCTTCAGTATCTTGCTAGTCGGCCCCGCTTGCTCTCAAAATACCTGAACATTCTGATTGGATGCAGGCATTGTTCAGGTATTTTGGAGAGCCAGCGGGGTCGACTAGCAAGATACTGAGGCTTGGCCCAGTGGAAGATTCCCCCATACACACAGTTTAGCGTAGATGGAGGAATCTGTTGCACTTTTTCCATCTGACCATAGAAACTCTGCAGATAGTCTATAGGTGTATGGCCAGCTTAAGACAGGTAACGAAACTCACCACTTAGGCTTTGGTCCTCGTGTACGTTCCAACTCTTGCTGTCTTTTGAGCTCCAGCAGTAACTCCTCCTCCACATGAAGGCGCTCCAGTCGTAATCGGGTCAGCTCTTGCTGATAGGGAGATGCTTCTCTCTTAGCTTAGTAAATGTGGTGAAATTTCACTTTGCAAAGAATACCAAATCATGTGCAAGGAAAAGAATAGGAAAAAAAAGAAAAAACAGTATCTTGCTTCCAAATGATTGGATGATGGAAGTCAGCAGAGCTTTGCCTCATTCACTAAACTAAGGAGAAGCTTCCCCTGCAAAGTGCACAGCATATTTGCCTTTAGTAAATCAACCCCAGTGTGCCTAGTGCTCAACAGCTCTTTAGAAAATGACACGGACCAATAGAGTTCAGCTTTTGCTTTCGCATTAAAGAATGTAAAAAAAAAATGATTAACCCTTGCAGCGGGGCTTGTTTTTGTCTACAGCAGGTGCTTAAAAAAAACCTGCAGCATTTTCCCCCCTGCCCTCTGAACGGGTGCCTCCATCATACTAATGGAAGCAACCGTGCCCGTAGTGGCTGTGTGCGTCCATAGACACACACAGTCCTGTGGCAGGCCACGCCCCTTCTCTCTTTGATTGATGGCAGAAGGAGACTATGGCTCCTCTGCCATCAGTATCCTCCCCCCGCAACCAGGAAATTTGGGGAACGGAGAATCACTTTGGGAACGGCGGCGGCGACGAGCGTAGCTTACAGGTAAGTTGGTTGGGGGGAGGGGGGGGGGTTGGGATATGGGACTGGAGGAGAAAAAAGGTGCTGGGCCGTTTTTACCCTAATGCAGAGAATGCATTAAGGTAAAAAGCACCCAGACCTTAATACTACTTTAAACTGCATCACATAGATGTGATTGGGCCACATAGGAAATGATGGGATTTCTACTTGCAATGCATCTTCAGGCAGCAAAATGCCTGAGCTTTGCTGCATGAAAACAGACAAATGTGAACAGGCCCTAAAAGATGCCTAAGGGCTCTAGAAGGACCATAACAGACCATTTAAAAAAACCCATGGCTGTGATAATACAGACATGATCGCATGGAAGGTCTGTGGTACTAGTCCATTTGATAAGGAGGCAAGGATGTGTGAGTAATGTTTTTGTTTTTTTTGCATTAGTGAGAAAATCTGAATGTTATTAACACCAAAACTTCAGATGACAGCACAATATTTTGGCAGACAAGAAGAGACTGGATGGGAAATATGATCAGAATTAGCAAAAAAAGCCTTAAAATTGTTACCAGTTTTGTTGGCAAGGTCTTCATAAGGAGTATAACGCATGTGATACCGAATGATACTTAAAGCAGTTTACCTTTCACTGATCTCTTCTGCACTGGGTGCTGCTATGACAGATGATGGAACACTATAAGGACTCCAGGAGTAGCCAAGACTGCTTTTGGTCTTCCTTGGAGGAGTAAAGGATCTTGCTGCCAAAGACCCAGGCCTGTAAAACCGTAAGCGAGATTGCCTGTTGGAAGAGGACGTCTTAACGTTGGATTTAATTCTTCCCGGTGGCTGGCCACACGCATTAGCTTTAGCAGAATTTGGCCTCCAGATAGGTTTTGGAGATTGAGAACGGGATCGGAGATATCTAGCTTTCTTAGAAGTCGGTGAAAAGGAGTGCGAGCGATCAAGCGACTGAGATCTTCCTCGGGGCATCGAGACTCTGGTTCTCTCGGGAGATTGAGACCGCACAGGAACCTTTGGAGGTAAAAGAGACCGAACGCCAACTACGTGAGGAGCACCAAGCTTCACCGGGATGGATTCTCCATAAGCAATGTCTGAAGGTGGTGTGGGAGAAGATTCCATTTCTGAAAACGAGCTGCTTGTGGTGCCGAACGGACGACTGAGAGATGACTTTGAAAATGTCGGAAATCCTGAGCTATGCGTTGTAGAGAAATTCTCATGAGGTTTTGTTAGGTGGTTTGTGTTCAAAAACCATTCAGAGCTTGAAGCCAAATCTTGACTTCGGTCTGTAGAGTCTCCGAATGATGGACTACGGATATGCTTTGGCCATTCTGGCATATTTGTATAGTCAGACATGGTTTCCAAATTTAGACTGGAGGCAAGGCTATCTACCTGAACCTTTAACTTCCTCAAATTGTCCTCCAGGTCATCAATGCTAATGTTCTCTTTGGTGTACAGAGACAACGTGTTACCTACAAATAATATGAAACCATTAGAATATGTCAATAAAGAGTAATTTCTTCTGGGGCAGCAGTATGCAGGGACAAAGCTAATCTATTTAATACCAGGATATATAATATAGATAGAGGTCCTGTATATACGTCCTTTCTTTGTTATGGTTAAAAGAGTACTATGGGGTAAGTGTTTTCCCCCATAGTTCTCTTAAGGGTCACGGGAGAACATATACTAGCGTCCTCCCGTGACCCAAAAGGTCAGTATATCACGAGCTACAGCTCGCGGTATACTGAGACCGCCAAAGCCGGGACAGATCCCAACAATACTGTCGTGATCCACCCAGCTGTGTGATTGACAGCTGGCTCTGCCTAGCTAGAGGCAGAGCCAGCTGTACCCGCCCCCCTCTCTGTCCGTTCCTCCAGTCAGTGCTGGAAGATCGGAGTGGGGGAATCCCTGCAGGGAGCGGTGACTGATAGTCACCGCTCTCTGCAGGGAGATGATCGAGAAAAGAGCGAGCGACGGTATGTGTTCGCTCACTTCCCAATCTATTTAGTCGACGTGTGACAGTTTAATTGTCACACGTCGGCTCGAACTATGAGGATGACTGATTTTCACTCGCCTCATAGTTCTCCTTTAAGACTAAAAAATATTTTTCTCAGTGTTGGGCAAGATAAACATAAAAGGCTGCCTTTAAATAGTCTGTATTTTTATATGCACCTGGCAGGTGCAACTTTTTTTTAACTTTTATACTTTCCAGTTCCTCCTTACCTCCTGTTGTAAAAAGCATGTTGTTTACAAAGCTCAACAGCTCAAGCCTACATTTTTACAAACAAATCAATCAGTGATGTATCTCCTTTATCCCCCTCCCCTAGTATATCTTTCTCTAAGGTTTCAATCAGACAAAGCAGCCTGAAAGCATACACCTTTAACTGTGCTTATACTGAGCTTGGGGTAACGGGAGGACGCTAGTTTGTGTCCTCCTGTTACCCTAAGGAGAACTATGGGGAAAAACACTGACCCCATAGTTCTCCTTTAAGTTAAAAGAGAACTAAAGGGTAACCTTTTTATTCCATAATTCTCTTAAGGGTCACGGGAGGACATGTACAAACGTCCTACCGTGACCCAAAGCTCAGTATATAGTGAGCTACAGCTTGCTATATACTGAGAGTGCTGCAGCCGGGACGGATTCTGGCGATACTGTCGAGATCCACCCAGCTGCGTGAGTGACAGTGGGCTCGGCCTATCTAGAGGCAGAGCCAGCTGTGCCCGTCCCCCGTCCGTTCCTCCAGTCAGTGCTGGCAGAACAGAGAGGGGAGGGGGGGGGATCCCTGTTGGGAGCAGTGACTGAGAGTCACCGCTCTCTGCAGGGAGATGATGGAGAAGTGAGCGAGCGTCGGTATGCGTTTGCTCACTTCCCGATCTATAGAGCCGACGTGTGACCGTTCATTGTCACACGTCTGCTCTATGAGAATGAGTATAAATCGCTCCTCATAGTTCTCCTTTACCTAAGTGTTAGGCCTCATTCACACAGGAGTGTTGCTCCGTACAGTGCGAAGGGCTGATTGTTGATGCACCAGGAGCTGTGGAAAGAAGCGTGCATGCAGCTCATTTAACTTTGTGTAGATGGAGGTGCTGTGTACCCTCGCATGCTGCTTTCTGCAGCTCCAAGTTTTGACAATCAAAACCGATGGTGTACGGCCTCAGATGCATCCAGGTCTGCACACTGTCTGTGGGCTGTCAAAACTTAGTTGAGGGCGCACAGCTCCTGTATCTACATAGAGTTAAATGAGCTGTCCCCACACTTTTCCCCATAGCTCCGAGCACATGATGAGTGGCCCTTCACACTGTATGGAGTAACACGCCTGTGTAGATGATGTCTTATAGAAAGAATGTCTTATAGGAATCATTTGTCATGTATTGTATACATTTTATTTGTATATTAAAAAAATAATTATAGTTAAATAAATAAACCAGATATAAAACATCTAAACCAGTGAAGGAGAGTCACATAGATTGCACACAGATTTGTACGGGATAATGCAACAAGAAGATACTTGCCATTGGCGTCATTTGGTATAGTTTGCCTGCCATGGTTAGAGTGCACTCTGCGGTTGATGCCAGACCCTTGGTAGCTAAGATTATGGCTGCTTGTGGTCTTCTGTGTATTACTCATAAACTCATATGGCTTCTCGCTGAAAGAAAACAAAAGAGGAATTGATTACTCAGATCTAAATGGTGCCAAGGGAGCCGTCCAATTTTCTGCAGATCTAAAACCTAAATAAATGGCATTTGGTTGGCTGAAGCACTTTGGAGGAATTCAGCAAAACTGGAGCAAACAGAATCTGGAGCAGTTGCCCATGGCAACCAATCAGCATCTCTCTACAGTTTGCTCAGGTAAGATTTGAAAATGAAAGGGAGAAGCTAAATTGGCTGAAGTGCAAATCTTCTCCAGATTTTGTCTGCTCCCGTTTTGATAAATTCCCCTCTATGTATTATAAACCATTGACAATTTTTTATTTAAATACAGATTTTCCCTTTTTTTTTTTATCCTTTCTTACACCTCAGTAATGCCCATCTCCTCCAGTCACTTTCAACCACTTCCTGTCTATATGCCCTCGCTCCAGCATCCACTGCACATCATTGGTCTTCCTGAAAGTGACAAAGACACAATGTGTGTCGGCGTGGCCATGTAAAGTCACCACTAGGGATGAGCTCAGATTCTGACCGAACCTGAGCTCCTCTAAAACACAAACGGAGCTCCTTCAAAAATGGAAGGAAGCTTCTTGAAGTGCCTTCCAATCAGCTGCGGCCGGGGAATTTCACACCTGCGGCATATAAGCAATGTAAGCAAAGCGGTGGGGTGCAATGATGTCATTGACCTTATATGGCCACATGGCAAGATTTAGTAGAATACATTTACCCAATAAGGCCATGTGACCATATAAGGTAAATGACATCAGCACAGGCATCCCCGCCCCTTTGTTTATGTGCAGCGGCAGGGCGTGGAACCAGGGGCGTCCTGAGGCCGGGTGTAACCCGGAGTGGAGACCGGGTGACATCCTGCCGTGACGTCATTGCGCATGCGCGGTCATCTAATTGACGCCTGCCAGCGGCCATCTTGGTAGTGGACGCCGGCAGAGAGAGGAGGGGACGTTCACCAGGCGGCATACCTCATCCCCTCCTCTCTCCTGACACTGTCGGGTCTCTCGGTCCATGACCGAGTGGCCAACTTTTTAGAGGGGGTGACACCAAAATGACAGTCAGTCATCGACCACTGCGGGGAACACTCTGGCCCGCAACCCATGGCACTTCCTTGTTCAGAGAAGATCAGGTTCAGACCGGGTTCCCTAGTCACCTCCCGGGTCACATGGGTGACAACGCAGATGCACAGTTAGGAAACAGTTGTCAGCAGATAAAAGGGAAGTGTCTGAACAAGGACCTTCATGGCAGGACAACCAGCATTACATTAATTAAAGCTGCATAATTAAAAAGAAAAGGGAAAACGTTTATCATTATACCAACATACAGAAGCTTACATGAGAGTTTAGTAAATGGGTTTAGATTTACGTACGTAAAGCAAAGTACAAAGCAGATTAACTCGCTCAACCAATCAGATTTTCATTATTAATTGACATCAAATTGAGCCCTACGTATTGAAGGCCAGTACTGACGAACCGAAAGGAGGAAAAAAATAAGGTGTACGCACGCCAAACACTTGAAACATGTAGGCAGAAATGGCAATGCAAGACAGAAACGGTATTTAATAATCTTGGGATGTCTGCGTGGGATGTATACCAGGGAGCACAGGTTAGAAAACACGGCAGTATATTCATCCGTCAAAAACATTGCTCCTGATAATCCGAGTCTCCGGCATCATACACCATTACTGAGAGCGTGTGGGCCCGTCGGAGCTGTTTCCATGACAGCAAGTTGCCCTACAGTGACAATCCCTTCCCACAGCAGACATTGTCAGGATCATTATGGAAACCGAAGAGAAACAGGACATCTAGCGGCTTCTTAGGATCTCTTAGGTTTTCATTCCTAGTGAAGTATGAATCCATTGCGTCTCTGCCAAGCCGGATAGGAGTAATGTTTTAGATGAATGATGCTGAATCCGGGGTGCGAGATCAGCTGCTAATGTAACCTAACCCCAGTCTAATCTTCCTCAAATTGCCTGAGCCCCCCCAATCTGTTTACTTACAGGTACAGTACTTGTATTTGTGGACTGAGCCGTGTTCAGTGAGATCAGCCATGTTTCATGATGAAATGACCTTCCTTGCAGTAAATGGCATTACTATTGATCGGTATAAGCTGCCAAGCTAAGAGGCTTGTTGGGACTCGGACTACAAAAACAAACCAGATTGGAATGAGGACTGTGGGTGTTCTGTGTACAAAAACACAGCATGTGTGTGCTCACGTGCATGTATACATGTATACATACATACATACATACATACACAGTTAACTCTCTTTTATCTGGTATTCAACTAACCAAAACTCTCATCTAAACCTCGCTGTTCTGCTGATCTGCAGCATGTATTATCCTGGAAACGATTGTGCGTCTGTTTGTCTTAATTTGCTTTTAATTACTGCATTTCAATATTAATTTGAAGTCAATACAGAGTTTATGGTATAGATGAGGTACGGCATTAGTTAGACCTATTTTAATAGTAACTCTCATGCAACCAGAAACTACATTTATCCGGAATCTACCACTCCCCACGGATGCCGGATAACACGGAGTTTAAAATATATATATATACACACACACACACACACACACACACACACAATATTGCCAAGAGTATTGGGACGCCTGCCTATATACACACATGAACTTTAATGGCATCCCAGTATTAGTCCCTAGATTTCAATATTGAGTTGGCTGCCCTTCGCCGCTAAAACAGCTTCAACTCTTCATGGAAGGCGTCCACAAGGTTTAGGAGTGTGTCTATGGGAATGTTGGACCATTTGTGAGGTGAGATGCTGGATGAGAAGGCCGGGCTCGCAGTCTCCGCTCTAATTCATCCCAAAGGTGTTCTATCGGGTTGAGGTCAGGACTCTGTGCAGGCCAGTCAAGTTCCTCCACCCCAAACTCCCTCATCCATGTCTTTATGGACCTTGCTTTGTGCACTGGTGCGCAGTCATGTGGGAACAGGAAGGGGCCATCCCCCAACTGTTCCCACAAAGTTGGGAGCACAAAATTGTCCAAAATGTCTTGGTATGCTGATGCCTTAAGAGTTCCCTTCACTGGAACTAAGGGGCCAAGTCCAACCCCTGAGAAACAACCCCACACCATAATCCCCCTACACCAAACTTTACACTTGGCACAATGCAGTCAGGCAAGTACCGTTCTCCTGGCAACCGCCAAACCCAGACTCATCCATCGGATTGGCAGACAGAGAAGCATCACTCCAGAGAACACGTCTCCACTTCTCTAGAGTCCAGTGGCGGCGTGCTTTACACCACAGCATCCGACGCTTTGCATTGCACTTGGTGATGTAAGTCTTGGATGCAGCTGCTCGGCCATGGAAACCCATTCCATGAAGCTCTCTACGCACTGTTGTTGTGCCAATCTGAAGTTTGGAGGTCTGTAGCTATTGACTCTGCAGACAGTTGGCGACTTGTGCACACTGTGCGCTTCAGCATGCGCTGACCCCGCTCTGTCATTTTACGTGGCCTACCACTTTGTGGCTGAGTTGGTGTTGTTCACCGTTTCCTTCTACTTTGTTATAATACCACTAACAGCTGACCGTGGAATATTTAGTAGCATGGAAATACCCAAAAACGCGCAGCAGAAGCATGTTGCACATTTTCGTGAGTTTTTTTTGCACGTTTAAACACGCGTTCTTCCATTGCCCGCAAAGATTCATAAGTTGCCAGTCAAAATGCACGTCTTCATGCACGCCCATCAAAATGTGCACAACGCGCAAATAACCGAACACTGCTCACGCACTTACAGAACCGGTGCCGCCTAGGTGTGAACCAGGCCTAAGGGCAGGTGGATTCCTTCCAGTTCACAACATTTTGGGGGAGGGGGGGGGGTTATCGGTTGAAAAGATTAGAAAATCTTTCCCCGTCCTTACAGTTTTGCCCCAAGCTGAGCGGCTCCGACGGTCTCTCCTTGGACTTTGCACCTCCCTCCCTGCCTTCATTGAAATCAACATGCAGGGTTTATACAGAGCTGACCTTGCACACAAAGGAGACTCTGTCGCCAACTTAGAAAATTGCATGTGAAAGCGCAGAAAATGGAGTATTGTAAATGTTTGCTTGCAGCGTTTTTCATTTCCATATATTTTTTATTCATGTGCCATCTAACCTGCTAGCAAATTCCAAAAAATATAAATTCCCTAGCACAGCCCCCTTCCTCCTTATCCTAACCCTCTCCTCTTCTGGGAGTGTCTAGTATCTGTCTGTGCTGGCACAGCTCCAACATCCCTCCCATTACCTTGCTGCAAAGGGGACTATTATAGAGCGTCACTTGAGTGAGTCTTCTGACATCACATCCAAGATGGCGGCAGCCAGCAGCAGTCTCTACACAAGGAAGATTTTTTTGTTTTTCATGAAATGCTCATATAATCTTATGGGAAGATGGTTGCTGAAATGAATAGTCTGGTGGTGAGGTCACTTTAGGAGGGGGGATCTGCTGTGCTTTGAAGGTCTGCTTCCCTGAGGGCGTTCGGATTGTACCTGAATATCAATGGCAGCCTTAGAGAGGTACTCTTTACTGTTGCTCGGCACAAATAACCTTCAGACTAAACGAGGCGTTGTCTGTTTACGGAGTCCCTGTGAACTGGCAGGAAGGAGAGGGACTGAGTCAATGGTTGCTGTGTTTACCTCTGCACACACACAATGCAATCATCAAACATTCAGCGACCATTATAGGAGAATGATGAGGAGGAGCCGGGTTTACAGACAGATCTCCTAATGAGGGTGACACAAGGTTGAGAATCTCCGCTCTGATCTGGAAGACGCTTGCAGATCAGATGGGTGGATACTTCCTCCAGGTGTGTGACTCAGAAAGTACTGGAGCCATTGGGAGGGCATGGCAGCCAGGAAAGCAGCATCTCCAGAAGGGAAGGTTTGCATCCTGATTTCCTCTCCATGGGTGTAAAGCCGAGACCTCCGGAGTTGTTGGAGGATATTATCTGGTATCATGTGGGTCAGAGGTTGTGGTGTTTGGTCCATTAGTGGGGAGGCCTGGCCATGTGCACAAGACTCCTCTGATGAAGTCTGTAGGAGAGACGGTGATTGGACACCTTTGTGTGTGACAATACTGGATGAAGGTTACACACTCGTCCTCTATCAGAGAAGGTGACAACGGCTGCTGTGTCTGATGGAGGCTGACAACAAAGTCTGTACTGAGTGCTAGTGAGACGACAGCGAGGCAAAAAGTCCCAGCAAGCCAACCAAACTAGGGATCACGAATCCCAGCATGCCAGCCAGCTAGGGATCACGAATCCCAGCATGCCAGCCAGCTAGGGATCACGAATCCCAGCATGCCAGCCAGCTAGGCATCACGAATCCCAGCATGCCAGCCAGCTAGGGATCACGAATCCCAGCATGCCAGCCAGCTAGGGATCACAAGTCCCAGCATGCCAGCCAGCTAGGGATCACGAATCCCAGCATGCCAGCCAGCTAGGGATCACGAGTCCCAGCATGCCAGCCACTTAGGCATCACGAATCCCAGCATGCCAGCCAGCTAGGGATCACGAATCCCAGCATGCCAGCCAGCTAGGGATCACGAATCCCAGCATGCCAGCCAGCTAGGCATCACGAATCCCAGCATGCCAGCCAGCTAGGGATCACGAATCCCAGCATGCCAGCCAGCTAGGGATCACAAGTCCCAGCATGCCAGCCAGCTAGGGATCACGAATCCCAGCATGCCAGCCAGCTAGGGATCACGAGTCCCAGCATGCCAGCCACTCAAGGGCTACAAGTCCCAGCATGCCAGCCACTCAAGGGCTACAAATCCCAGAATGCCAGCCACTCAAGGGCTACAAGTCCCAGCATGCCAGCCACTCAAGGAAGGCCTACAAGGCCCAGCATTCCAGCTTGCTGGGAATCACAAAACCCAGCATGCCAGCCATCCAGGGAGCATAAGTGCCAGGGGAAAGTACAATTCCCACTCCTCCAGGCTGGGCTTCTCTCTAGCAGACATGCAGAGGCTTGTCGCCCAGGTCTCAGGTGTTTTAGCTGTGATAGAAATGAATGGACAGGTAGATTGGACAGCCCCCCGGTCCCCTGACCTTACACCCCCATATCAGATTCCCCTTCCCCTATCTAGCAGGCCTCCAACCCCGTACCTGAGCGCCGCTTTCCTCCCGTGCAGCACGAACGCTCCCTCCGCCATGGTGCCTTCTCTTCCTTCTCCACTGAGTCTGTTGCTAAGGGGAAGGCTCAAACAAGGTGTTACTAAGCGGAAGCCCTAAAAAAAAATCGACTTTCACTACTTCTGTCCCTGCTGGGCTACCGTAAATAGGAAGCAGAAAGCCGGTCTGATGTGGACCAATCCCGTCCTGCCGGCGGCTGTGATGTCACCGATTGACGGGTCCCTTCAGAATGTGACCTTGTCAGGCGGTGAATGCGCATGCGCGCAGCAGCACGTGTGTCAGTAAGGAGAGAGCGGTGACCGGGGGACGCGGGGCTCTGTCTTTTCAACCATGTCCTGGTTATTCGGTTACAACAAGGGTCAGCAGTTGCCCCCACAGGTGCCTGGCGTACCGGCTCCACCGCCCGGAGGGGATGGGGACGGCGACAAGAACAAGGCCAAGGACAAATGGAGCAACTTTGACCCCACCGGCCTGGAGAGGGCAGCTAAGGCTGCTAGAGAGCTAGACCAGTCACGTGAGTGTCAGCAGCGCCCTGTACATGCCCCGTGTGCCCTCTGTTGCCTGGCACATCACACTGGCACCTGGGCTACTACTGCCATTCATTAGCCATGAGCTGCAGAGTACACATGAGGTGGTGCATGCTGTACTGAAATCATTGCAAGGGTGAATGATCCTTCAGACCCATTTGGTCTATTGGGGTGCAGTCATGTGTATGCATCAATGTAGCCCATTCATTTTCATGGGTGCCGGTGCAACACAACTGATCTAAAATCCAACCTGTGTAATTGTTTTTTGTGTTGCACAGAGCACCAAGCACATGGCAGTGTGTTACCATGTGTTGTGACCTGCAACCCCGGTGTATTGGGTTGCCATTTAAAATGAATGGCACATTAATGCATTGCAGTAATGCATATATCTGAATGTGCCATACAAGAAGAGGAGTACTTGCTTCTTTGACCAATGCGTTAAAGCCCGTCTCTGTGATCAAACAAACCCCCCCCCCCAAAAAAAAAAAAATCTTTAATCAGTGCAATCTAAATGATAATTTTGTGGTCATGTGATCCTCCAGTACCGAGTCTTCTCACTTCCTTTGTGTACATCCAGCAGGGTCCCCTTTCGGGGGCGTGTTCAGTTGCCGCTGCAAATGCTAAGTTAGCAAACTGCCGCTGAACACTGTGCTGCAAGTCAGCATTCAGCACTGCTAACTTGGCACTTTTATCGAATGTGGATGCAGAGCGCTGAGTGTGATGGAGAAGGTTGGGACAGAACACCAGCGGCCATTTTAACTGTGGGCGCACCTGGCAGCACTGGAGAAAGTTGCCTAAACCCCGATGGTGGAAATCTATTCAGTGTGCAAACCTACAATTTAATGTTTTGGTGGAGGAGCACACCAAATGGTTTTTTTTTTAAATAGTATTTATTAGTCAAAAATATTATCCTCCGCCATTTTGCTTAGTACCGTGGAGCCAAAGTGTTCAGTGAAGCTGCTGCAGCAAACTGAAGTGCTGCAGAACAGCTACTCGGCACTTTTCTAAGGAAATGAACGCGTCTCTGTTGGTGGCTCTCTGCACAGCCAATGGGACCTTTCCCATTGGCTGTGCAGCGAGAGGGTCCTCTCAGTACAGAATAGTGGGGACTTGGGGGACGGGCCAGTGAGAAGGACCATTTGCAGCGCACATCACATTGATGTTGATCTAGGTCAGTAAAGGGCCAATCACAGCAATGAGTGTGAATGGGCCTTTAAAGTAGATTTATAGCCCATCTTTTTCCCATTTTTGAATGTAGCGGGGAATGGTTACACTCTGTCAGGGTTTTTTTCTGCTGCATGTGTCCCTGCGGGGAAATTTTCCATTGCTTTCTGCATCCGCTAGACCAGGAAGCGAGGGGAAATCCCTTCATAGACAGTTGTCACTGGAGGATATTCTCTCTTTACCTGTTCCATTGACAACTGTGATATTTTGGATTTTCAAGTGGTCACTTCAATGAATGTGGTAAATTTTCTGAGTGTGGACACACAGTAGGAAAGACCTGAGGTTATAGCCCCTCACCAGTGTCGATAGATGATCCAATATTTTAATTTGTATTAATCTTCATCGCTCCTCATGGAAGCGTTGGGCAGCACATCCGCAGAATTTATGTAAAATCAGCTCCGGTCCAACTTTCTAAATGAAGGTGGCTAAGTCTGCTCTACATGTGTATGTGGAGACGTAGTCACCCTCTAAGATGGACTACAGTAATATGTGCCAGCAAAGAAAACAGCCTGTTGATAAAATCCTCAGAGGTGTGGGAGGTACCAGCCTGAACGAATGAATATAGGGACGCACGCATAGTACAATCGTCGGGTACAATGATTTCTGGGAATTGTAGTTTGTGTAGAGCGGTGCATGTGACCGCAAGGTCTCTGCTCAGAGGTTTAAAGTAATCTTCAAGCCTAAAATATGCATTTTAATGTGTGCAAAAGGGCTAAAGCTGATTTTCGAAAACCGATTTTATTTTTATGTAGCTACTGATATATGTGTAGATCATGTAAACAGTGCCAAGGTCTGATCTATATCATGTTTTGTGTAACATCCTTGCCTAATACTGTACTGATGTGTGTGAGATGTCAGTGTATTGAGCCAAAGTTGCATCATTCATTCCAGTCTGCAGTCTTCATTTGCATAGTAGGTCACATGATCACTGAGGTCACAAGCAGGATTGTCTTTTAAACTGGCACATTGGTGGATCTATAGTAATCTGATTTGTTTACATGTTAAAGATGAAGCCTGACTATTTGCTTTTTTTTGCATTCTGTAGTTTTTAAAGTGGCATTAAAGTCAAAAATATTTCTCCTCCCCCATATTAATTAAAGCACTTACCTTAAATTATGTCTCTTAATCCGAACATCTTCTTTCCAGACCTTTTTCATCTGTCCCTCCAGCGCTGCAGCGGCTCTCCGATCCTGCGCTGACTCCTCTGTGCTTGCTGGCACTTCCTGTCCCACTGTGTCTGCATGCGGGTGTACGCATCCATAGACTTAACTTGTGTCTCTCCTCGCGTCCCGGCCGAAAATGTGAACTGCGCATGGGCCCGCCCCAAGATGCTTTGTGGCTGCCTGAGAATTTTCACATTTTCAGACTCGAGCGCGCAGGGTAGACACAGATAAGTATTAATCCTTTTCAAAGCATATTTTTTTTTTCTTTTACACTTTTTTGCATATATCTACTGCTTGCTAGCCTTATATATATGCAGAAACACCGGAGGGTTTAATAACCCTTTAAGCTATGCTCACACTAAATGCCTTTCTGCACAGAATGATGAGGAGGAGTCAGATTTACAGACAGATCTCCTAGTGAGGGTGACACAAGGGTGAGAATCTCCACTCTGATCTGGAAGTAGCATGCAGATCAGATGGGTGGATACTTCCTCCTGTGTGTCACTGCTAGGACACACCGAAAACAATTGTTTTCTATGTTCCCTATCGCATCACACTACAATGTGACCTGACCATCACACCATGACCTAGTTGGGAACGGCAGACATGCTGCATTTTTTCTGCAGCACACTGGATGGCACTGTAGGTCACCGCAGCACAGCACACTGCTGGATGTAAGGGGTCCTGTATGGAGTGTGCACTTGGTACACTCTCAATAAAGTAAAAAAAAAAAATAAAGAAAAGTAAACCATGTAATGCACTGACATTTTAAAGAGAACCAACCCTGACTAGGCATTTGCACTAATCTGAGAATTCATTAACAGTGCGCAGGTATACTTTTCAAAGGTTTGCCCGCATAGTTGGCTTTACATACCTTGTGCCTGGCTCTTTTAGCTCAAGTCAGGGTTGAGGGGTCACCTGAATTACCTGTTGGTTATGAACATTAAGGTGACATTAAACTCGGTCGTTAAATCTTAAAAATACATTCAAGCACTTTAACTACTAACAAAAATGTATCTTATTTGTGTATCACTCGGCTGTAGATCCTCCAATCATCTCTGAATTGGTGCTGACACTGTCCTTCCTTCTGGAGGGGGGCTACTTTTGTTCGCCATGGTCCCTGTGTGTGTTTATTAAGTAGCCACCGCTCCAAGCTCACTCCCGTGATGAACTACAAGCTCAGTAAAAAATTATTAAACTAAAGGTGAGATTGTAGTCAATCACAGGAGCGAGCTTGGAGCGGTGGCTACTTTTCAACACACACAGGGACCATGGGGAACAAAATTATCCACCTTCAGAGATGATTTGAGGATCTACAGCTGAGTGATACATAAATAAGATACATTTTTGTTAATAGTTAAAATACTTGTATGCATTTTTAAGATTTCAAGGAGAACTATGGGGTTAGGGCTTTTCCCCATAGTTCTCAGGGTAAGGGGAGGACACAAACTAGCGTCCTCCCGTCACCCTAGGCTCAGTATACCGCGAGCTACAGCTATACTGTATACAGTATACTGAGACAGCTGGCTCTGCCTACCTAGAGGCAGAGCCAGCTGTACCCGCCCCTCCCCCGTCCGTTCCGCCAGTCAGCGCTGGCAGAGCGGGGAGGGGGGAATCCAGCCCCTCCCCTGCCACGGCAGAGAGCCGTGACAGGCTCGAGAGGTGAGCGAACGCCGGTATGTGTTCGCTCACTTCCCGATCTACTGAGCCGACCTGTGACAGTCTAATTGTCACAGGTCGGCTAGAACTATGAGGTGAGTGAAAAGCACTCACCTCATAGTTCTCCTTTTTAACTCCTGAGTTTAGTGTCACTGTAAGTGGTTAAGTACTACAGTATAAAAAAAGTGCATTTTTTTTTTTTTTTTTCATATTTTTTTGCTTTCCAGGTCATGCCAAAGAGGCACTACAGCTCGCTAAGATGCAAGAAGAGACGCTTCACCTGGAACAAAACGCAAAAATCAAGGTAACATTTAAAAAAAAAAATTTACCCAATGTTAAAAAACAACGTTGAGTGCTTTGTCAGGACTGTAATAATATCCAGAGTAGCATTACTTACTAACACTTGGCTTTAAATAATAGAAATGGGTATATTTTAAAACTCTCATAGTCCACCATTCTTGCCCTTCTATTCAGAAATATTAAAGTATTGAGGGGCCCAGATACAGAGCGATGGCAACCTTCCCTGTGGAAAATAAATCAAACCAACTGGGCTTGCTGTATTTATTTTTTTTATTTTTTTATTGAAGTTGTTTCGCTGGTCATCCAACTAGCTTTCTCATTTCAGAATTGTGAATTTAGAAAGCTATTTGGATGACCGGCTAAATGTCCTCAAGGACAAAAAAAAGGCAGCAAGTCTAGTTGCTTTGATTTATTTTTCTATAGATGTACCATGACCTGGATGGAGAACTTTCACAGACACAATGGCAACCTTAGTTCAGCAGTGAGAGCACCTTGCCTTTGCTTACCGAGTCTGAAATTAATGTGTATGTATAGGCAACACATGTTTGGGTTTGTTTTTTGGATAGAGTAGGAAAGCATTAAAACCCGGGTTTTTTTTGCTGTCTGTGTTCCATTGTGGAAATTTCCCTACCGTTAAGTCCAGAGACACAACAGGAAGTTGGCAGAAATCTCTAAAATTGTGGGAAATGCCCATCCTAAAGAGCTGCCTCCCCCGGAGTAGGTGTCCCCTTAGATTTTCCCTTGCATCTTTTTCTGAGGACAACTCTAACATTTTGGATTTTTCCTAATTTTCTTTTCATTGACAATGGTCACAAAGTACAAATAGAGTTGGGAATCTCTGAAATGGGGACAGCAATAAAAACATGGAGGGTGTAGCCCTTTTCCTCCAAAGTATAGAGATGCACTTTAAATTTCCTTTTTTGACAAGTATGAATGGCGTGAGCTAGGGAATGTATTTGAATGGGCACCTTTCAAAGCCAAATGACCAAGGTTTTTGGTTTTCATCCTATGTTCTGCTAATGGCTGCCTTGTTTTAAAATGAATTGCTTATCTGAGAACACCCAATCCAAAGCCTTTTTAATTCTGCAAGCCAAGGATTGTGAACTCCTTTTATATCTTATACTCGAGAAATGATCCCATACCAGCACAAAGTGAGTGAGTAGCTGCAGTGAGATTAAGCAGGACCTTTTAAGGGATTGAAGGAAATGTATATTAGCTGATAAAGGGGAATTTCAGCATTTACCACGCTGTATACAACAGCAATTACGGTTCTAACTTATTGAATGTTACAGCGTACAAACTGAGAATGTGTATGTTTTGGGAATTTAGACTTGTCACCTCCTTTGTTGCAGATTTTTGTACTTCTTCTCATACCTTGTTTTCCTCTTTTAATCAAATCAATTAAAATAATTTATCAGTAACCGCCCCCTCCGCTTTTCAAAAGACCTCCTGCTTTCCAGCTCCCTTGCCAACTCCTCCCATGCTCGCCTACAGGACTTGACTGGAGTCTCTCCCATCCTCAAACTCTTTACCCCAACCTGTCCGTCTGTCTCCCACTCTGACTGCCTTTAGGCGATCCCTAAAGACTCATGTCTTCAGGGAAGTCCATCCCACCTTCCCTGATCCCACGTTCTCAAACAATTCATCCCCACACAGCAACCTCCTCATGTATCACTTCCCCCTCCCTTTTAGATTGTAAGCCCTCAGGGGCAGGAACCTCCTTACCATCTTGTCCTGAATTGTATTGTGATTGTAAAGTGCTGCGCAAACTGTTGGCGCTATATAAATCCTGTACAATAATATATTTTGAAATGTAGGAATATGAAGCTGCCGTAGAACAGTTGAAGAATGAACAGATTCGAGTGCAATCGGAGGAAAGGAGGAAAACCCTAAATGAGGAGACAAAGCAGAACCAAGCCGTAAGTTGATCATGAGGCTGATCCTAATAGCTAGGCACATGTATTATGGGAGGTGAATCCTGCAGTACTTGCTGGAGTAGACATATCAGAAATCAGCAAGGTAGGCGTTAACTTCATCGTTTGATATGTCAACTAACATCTGTCAAAATTCATGCAGTCAGGTTAGCTGATGAGGTCTTTTGCCCACTTATTGCCCTGTGCACACTGTTGTTTCTTCACTGTGACATTATCACAGGCTCCAAACAAAGGAAACTCTGCAGCACCAGCCTGAGGGAGCGATCTGCAGGGCACCTCACATCTGATCCTGCACATATAGGTTTGCTCTGCAAGACTGTACCTCTCTAGAGCCTTCTTGCATGCATATAGTCTGTAGACTTGCTTGTGGGAGAGCACTTGACCATTCTGTTGGTGATGATGGGATTGGATTCCTCCACAGAATCACTCCGGTTAATCCTCCGAACACTGCTTGTAGCATCCTAAGATTTTAGGCAAATAGAAACTTCAAGATGCTGATCAGTTGAAAGGGGAAAGGCAGAGAAAAGTCTGTTTGTTTTGTTAGGTAGGGATCTCCTACTGCAGGCATTTCTCAATGCTGTTTGCACAGAACTGCTGGTTGGCCAGCGACCAGTTACCCAATTCATAGGCTGACTTCTGGAGTGTTCAGTCTATTTGCTGTGTAACCCTTAAGAAAAGTGTATTACATGCACTGCTCCTATGTTTATTTATGAATGGATGGCAGATTGGGCTAAGGAATACTGCCTGGAGTTTACCTTTTAAGGCTTCTGCTCCATGTGTACCCTATTCTCTGCTCCTCCACAACTCCATTTGGCTATCTAGACTAAAGAAAAATACCTGCTTCCTCAGTTGTGTAGAGCTTGTAACTCTCCTCTCCCTCCCGCAATGTTGAGTTTGGTTGCTGATTGACTAGTTGCCAAGCCCACCACTTGGCACATGGGGTTGGGGAATTAAGTCCTTCCCCAACCCCCTGTGTACCCTCTATACAAAAGGAACTTGCACACAAGGTTTCTTCCTATTGCCCTTAAATGAAAGGTGAGAGCAGGCAGCATGAAGGAGGAAAGGGGGCATTTAGGCAAACCTATTACTTTGCCCTGCTTGGACAACACACAGGTTTATTGTTAAAGGAGATGCTAGCACAAGTCATTGGATGGGGCATTACAACTATAAACTGACATTGTGGCAAGATGCATTGAAGAACATTATTTATTAAGTTTATCAAGTGTTTTAGAATCCTGTAATCCAGGAGAAAACAACTGTCAATATAGAAACATTATGAAATCAATCACGTGCAGTATTTGATGAATAGACACATTAGCTATCTCTTAGAACTTGTGACTTGTAGACAGCGTGGGCCCTGCAGTCTTAGGTGCAGTGGATTTGTTCGTCAGGGCCATGAGAATGTGAAAGTACATGCCTGGTGGGTTATATTGTGTAAAATCGTTCTATGTAATGGGGAAAAATGGAGAAGAAGAGAGAATAAAGTTTTATGTTGGAATGGAGTGGATACAGTAAGGGAAGGAGGTGATGAGGTCCAGGGTATGGGGACAGGAACAAATGGGGGGGCCTACATACATCCTGGACCATTATCTCAGGATTACCATTCTGGCTGCCAAAAAGCAGCAGCAAAGGAGGTCTGGTCTAATATTAGAAAAAGACCCCTGGATCGCTAAGAGTTGTTCATATATAGTAAGATTTGTTTCCAGAGTACTATTATGAAGGAACACAGCCACCATATGTACAGCATGGTCCCTTTTTTGCTCTCCCACATCACCACTGGTCCGGGGGAATATTTTTTTTTCTTTGTATGGCATATGGTTACTAATACAACCTTGTCGGACTTGTGACGCTCCTCTCTTGAGCCATACTTACAATGCCTTATTTATCGGTCAAAACAAACATTTTGTTCGGCCTGAGAGAACTTATGTTCAGTTAATTTTTCTAGGCAGCTACAGTACATAGTAAGGTAAATTTAGGGTACATTTGGTTCACAAGTATGGCATAAAGTAAAAAAAATAAGATGGGTAGGTTTAGGGTTATTTTTTTTATTTTTTTTGAAGACGTGGTTTCAAATGGTGAAGTTTCCTTATAAGTTAACCAGGCCTAGGAGGTGATTTAGGAATCTCCATAATTGTCAATCATGGAGCCACTGTTTAGCATGGGGATGCTGGTCTGCAGTCAGGACTGATCTTTCCCCTTAGTCTTCCAGAACGGCTTACGAGAGATAGGCTCCGCCCCTTTTAGCAGGAAACACATCACCCCTAGTTGTTTTAAAAGGCCCGCCTCTCTCCTAGCTCCTCAGTTTTTTGTGTTTCCTCCGTCAGGGGGAGACATGTCAGGGTTCTACAGAAGTTCTTTCTAGAACAGACAGACTTGATACTGATTTTTTTTTTTTGGCTTTTCTTAAAATATTTAAGTAAAATTTTGCCTTTTAAAGTGGACCTTCAATTAAATTTAATTCTTGGGTGATATAAAAATGCCATACAATAAAGTCATGTAGCTCAAAAGAGGAGGCAGAGCATCTCATAGCCAACCTTGTCAGTGCACCTTTGCACCAGTGCTTGTATCTGTTGCAGGTTCTGAACAATAAGGGCAGGTCAGGCACAGTAAGCCAACCAGGCTCTGTTTGCAAAGTGTAGAAACTGAACAGTCTGACTGATGGGGACATAGTAGAGTGAGCAAAGGGAAGACCCCATTGGCGAACTTCTGCTCCTTCATTTTACATTTAGTACTCCTGTTGCAGTTAAGGGCCAGGACCATGGTACCTGGCAGTGGTGTCTGGAATACATTAGTGGCTGCATACACTTACAAATTGTTTGGCAGTTAAGACCGTTCACATAGATATTCTTTTTTCACACCAACCGCATTCCAGGCGCAGAGCAGTTACAGACCGGATCAAAACTGTGTCCAATGTATTCCAATAGTATTTTGGGCTCTAGTTCACACCTCAGCGTTCAGTTCCAGAGCATGTAAAAGAAACAGCAGCAAGCCCTATTTTACCTGCTCTGGAACGCATGCAAACGCACTGAAAGCCCATTTTACCAAAAACGCGGCAAAAAACGCTGTATAACACACTGCACTGCGTGTGCAGAAACTCATGCAGATCTGGTCTGCATTTGGTGTGAACAAGCCCTTATACTTCTGATGTTAGGTTGCTTGCTGGCATTCCTTTTCACTGAGCATAGTCGCACTTGACATCTACTGAACTATTTCATTTCTTCCTGTAAAGCCTGTCATGTGAAAATGAGCAAAACCTTGACTTTAAAAAGGATACAGTACATGATAAAGGGAAATGGATTTCATTTCAAGAGGTTTTGTCTTTGTTTAGTTAAAGGAGAACTCTGAGGTGAGTGCTTTTCACTCACCTCATAGTTCTAGCCGACCTGTGACAATGAGACTCGCAGGTCGGCTCAGTAGATCGGGAGGTGAGCGAACACATACCGGCGTTCGCTCACTTCTCGATCCTGTCGCAGCTTTCTGCCGTGACGGGAGGGGCTGGATTCCCCCCTCCCCGCTCCCATCCGCCAGCGCTGACTGGCGGATCGAACTGGGGAGGGGGCGGGTACACCTGGCTCTGCCTCTAGATAGGCAGAGCCAGCTGTCAATCACGCAGCTGGGCGGATCCCGGCATAATTGTCGGGATCCGCTTCAGCTGCGGCGTCTCAGTATACCGCGAGCTGTAGCTTGCGGTATACTGAGCTTAGGGTGACGGGAGGACGCTAGTTTGTGTCCTCCCGTTACCCTAAGGAGAACTATGGGGAAAAGCCCTGACCCCATAGTTCTCCTTTTTAATAGTAAGTTTGTAGAAGATAGAGGTTGACACTCTAATATATGGAATTCGGGGGAACAGTTTGCATGCCCACCCATACCTGGAAGTGACAGTTTTTTATCTGGCTGCAGGGAATGGAAAGAGTAGGCAGACGGCACTGGTAAAATGAGTATTGGGGGGTCCAGGGGAGGCCCTTTAGAGACAGTTACTTGACCCTGCCTTGGCAAGGTGACTTTTTCTTTTCATTTGCAGTTCTGTAATGTGTGTGGTGTTTTGTTTTGTTTTTTTAATCTGTTCAGCTACTTTGTTTCCTATGTAGTAGCATATAAATTATTGCAAATAACCAGGTTTAATGTTTGTTTTTTTCTGACAATTTTCTAGAGAGCTCTTTACCAAGATAAATTGGCAAGGCAGCGGTACGAGGATCAGTTACGGCAGCAGGTAAGTGCCCTAAATTAAAGTTGTTGTAATGAAGAATATGTTAAGACAGCAGAGTCTGTTGCATTAAAAATAAACCCATGTCCATGGTGGTCAGTATATGTGTATGGCTAAAACAAACCTTCTGAAGTGGCTTGGAGACTTTACAAAGCATTTTTAACATTACCGAACAAATCCAGTTGAATGTGACTAACTACAACTAGCTACAACTTGACCTGGATAATTGAGAATGTCAGATTAAACTGTCACACTATCAGTCAGTTGTGTTTTATTGCCTCCGCTCTTTATTATAGACCCATTCGCAAAACACAGCAGGCATGTGATGGTCTCCTTTGCCTGCAGATAATAAAGATACGAATGGTAGATGCACCTGGTACATGACTGTAAGTGGCCACTAAGGGGCAGTATACCTCTCTGTGTATTGCATTGTGCTTAATAACTGACACTATACTTGGTGGCCTGGAATATGCAGGCATTGTCTCCAACTATACATACACTGCGCACTTCTATTTTTAGGTTGGCATACGCTATTCTCACGACTGGGATTTTGCCAGTAAAAGCTTTAAGTGGGGAATTAAAGTGGGAAAAAATAGAATTAGTTTATTGATCACCTTTCATGCCTGCTCATCTGTCATAGTAACCGTTATTGAGATATGAAAGCGGGATTATGGGAATAGACGAAGCACATATCATAATTAAAGGACTTTGATAACAATAATGCAGATTGGTTTATGTAAATGATTATTCATTCTATTTTATATGTACAAATTCCAGGAACTTCTCAGAACTGAAGATATTTGGGATTAAAATTCTAATACTGAACAATGGTGTCATCCCCTCTCACACACTGCCTCTCCAATAATGCTAATGCAGGCCACTGATTTCATTGGCCATATTCTTGAGAGCTGGACATTAATGTATAAGACCTGACATATAAAATATATGTACTGAAGGCAAGATTTCTTGTTGGTTATAACAACCAATCAACTTCCATCTATCATTTTTAAAGTGTAGGCTTAAATCAAAATTCAAGAATAACTCCGGGAAAAATCTTTATTAATAGGCATACACCAATACCGTTTTTTTGATATAGTGTACAAGTACCAATATTTTTTTTTTCCGGTGCTTGCCTATACCCATACTGGAAGTCCCATTAAGGAAGCCGGGTGCCAGGTAATGACTTGCCGCCCGGCTTCCCGATTAGCCAAGAAGCCGTCTATGCTTCCTCGTCACCAGGTGACGAGGAAGCATGGAGCCAGCTTCTTGACCAATCAGGAAGCCAGGTGGCATGTAATGACTAGTCGCCCATCTTCCTGATACCGGATGTTAGCGCCTAGACATAAACGAGCACTGAGGTAGCCCCACTGCAAGGGTTAAGAATTTGTGTTTTCCCGGAGTTCTCCTTTTAAGGATGCCAATTGTTTACCATGGGCATAAATTAATCATTTAATTGTGTTTTTATATGCGACTTTCTGTATGTGTTTGGTGTGCCAAGTTTCTCCTTTTTACTATAACATATTTTACTTTGATTTTTATTTAAAGCAACAAATGAATGAGGACAATTTGCGCAAACAAGAAGAGTCTGTTCAGAAACAAGAGGCAATGCGGCGATGTAAGCAGGAACACTTTTTGTATTTTTTATTATTGAACAATTTTTGCTTACTCGTAAAACTGGCTGTCAGGGACCTGACATTTTGTGTTTTAAAGTAAGAAAGAAAAGGGTTAAAACCCCGTCCAGTTTTTTGCGAAGCTGCTGACTGTTATTGTGCCACTCACTGTCAGAAAAATATCCTTGCTATTCTTTGGGGTGAATTTATCAAAGCTGGCGCAGACAGAATGTGGAGCAGTTGCCAAAGTAACCAATCAGCTTCTCTCTTCAGTTCAGGTAATTCTTGAAAATGAAAGCTTACTCTGCTGCTCCAGATTTCTTCTGTTCCAGTTTTGATGAGATCCACCTTTTGAGTCCGCACACTTTGTTTTATTAATCCCTGATGATAAAGGGGGTGGTATACAGCCCCCCCAAATGTGCTGACTTTTGTTTTTGGAATAAACCTATTATTGGACTCAAATATTGGCCTATCAAATCTAGATTTACCTATCCCTATCACAAGCGGTTGTGGGAATTCTTTGCTGTATGGAATCTGCCAGGCTAAAATTCGTAGCTCTAAACAATGCGAATGCAAAACTGCAAAAACATTTTCCCTTTTTTTTTTTTTCCCCCCTGTGTCCCATTGGGAAGATTCCCTATTCCCTTCCTGTTCTGAGCATGAAACATTAAGTGGGAGTAAATCTCTAAAGAGTGAGAATTGCCCTCTTAGAAATTTTGAAGAGTGTCACCAGCACACCAGTTTCTTTACGGCAAATTAATAGTAATTTATTAATGTATGCGGTCTCTCGTTTTGCAAGCGCTTTCGGGGGCTGCACAGGGTCCCCTTCATCCGGCTCAGAGATGTCCAAGCCGGATGAAAGGGACATTGTGCGGCCCCGAAAAGCGCTTGCAAAACGAGAGACCGCATACATTACAGCAAATGAATAGTCATTTATTAAAGAAACTGGTGTGCTGGTGACATTCTTCAAATATCTATACGTTGGCGGCACCATCCGCAGTCACTTCAAGCACCCACTTGCAGATTTGCATGGGAATCCCGGTAAGTAGTGCAACAAGGACTTTCTTTTCGTGCCCTCTTAAAAAACACTTGAACAGGTGACCCCATTGAAAGATTTGGCCTTGCCTCTAGTTCTGCTAACAAATGTAAAATTTGGATTTGCAATCGCTTTCTGTCTCTGTCACAATGGTCTCCAAGACAAATAGAAAGGATGGATCTACATCAGTGTAGACTAAACTTTAAGAAAATGACATGGATTCTAATGCTTCCAAAGCATAACATCATACATTTTGGCTATACATACACTGTAAGATATAATTTTTTTTAATCAAGCCAGTGAATGTTTTTGATGTAGGCAGCGGTATGTGGAATTGAAGTGTGTTTTGCAAGATCTGGTAGGGTTCTTTCACTTGTGTCAGCTCTAACCTGGCCAACTTGGAGCCTATCCAGGGCTTTTTCACTTGGCTCCACCAGGCAAACGGGGTGCGCCATGTAAAGAAAGTTATCAGAAGTGGGGTTATGGACTACTACGTGAACTTAGGATTTATTTTCAGTGGAAACAATGTCACATCAGGGCTTTGCTTCACATTTTCAAGAGTTTTGGCAAACTCAAAGCATATTGAATGTCTCTCTTCCTCTCTGCTTATACTCCATGTTTTTTGTTCCGGTCCAGCCACGGTGGAGCACGAGATGGAGTTGCGACATAAGAATGAGATGTTGCGGATCGAGGCAGAGGCTCGGGCTCGTGCCAAGGTAGAACGTGAAAATGCTGACATTATCCGGGAACAAATTCGCCTTAAAGCTGCAGAACATCGTCAGACCGTCTTGGAATCCATCACGTATGTAAAAATAGTTTTCATTGGTGGTTTGGAAAAAATTGAACCTTTTTATCTGGAGTAACTAATCAGGTTTAAAAACATAACTTTTTTATTTTGTTGAACAAGCCCCTTTTGGGTATCTGATAACTTTATTGCAGAATCTAACCTGTATTTGTTCCTGAAAAGAACTAATGTAGTCCTAACTATATCCTTGCTTGAACCAAGTGGGAGCGTCTGTCTCATCACCAATTGAACAATCTTGGGGGTAAAATAGGAAGAAGAACTGCATCTATATCTCTTTACACGTGCAAGAGCCTTAAGCTGCCCATACACCTATAGATTATCTGCAGGTTTTCTATGGTCAGATGGGAAAAGTGCAACAGATTCCTCCATCTACGCTAAACTGTGTGGCTGGAGGAATCCCCCACTAGGCCAAGCTGCAGTGTCTCGCTAGTCGGCCCCGCTGGCTGTCAAAATACCTGAACAATCTGATTGGATGCAGGCATTGTTCAGGTATTTTGAGAGCCAGCGGGGCCGACTAGCAAGATACTGAAGCTTGGCCCCGCGGGAGATTCCTCCATCCACACAGTTTAGCGTTGTTGATGAAAGTATAATTTTAGTAGTGCCAAAATGTAACTAATGATTTTATATTTTTCTTACCCCCTGCTATCTGCCCATGGCAACCAGTCTTCTGCCTTCCCTCTGTTCAGTGCTGCAGCCTCTGTCAGTCTATTTTGGTGTTCAACACTTCCAGGAGTGTTGGATGCTCGTGTTCCTAGCCAAGTTATGTGGTCCCTTCCTATGACCCCTACATCACTGCTGAGCCTTGTAGGGACATAGAGGTCAGAAAAAGGAACCACATTGTACAGAGGGGAACACGGGCATCTGATACTCCCGGATTCCCGCCGCTGCAATCCATTACTTTTGAATGTGTCAGATGGCTGTTTCTGTGGAGCACTGCAGCCCCTACATAAATACAGGTTACCTTCATTTTTGTAGGCAAGTAACAGGATCACTTTTTTTTTTTTGCTTAGACACTAACTGCATTTTTTCTATTTTAGGACTGCTGGAACTGTGTTTGGAGAGGGTTTCCGTGCCTTTGTGTCAGACTGGGACAAAGTGACAGCAACAGTAAGTCCTGGATGAGCTTCCACAATGCTGTAGATTTACATAGATCGGGGTATCCAAACTTTGGTTGCTGTGGAACTACAAGTCCCATAAGTTATTGCTCTGACAAGACTCTTGACAGCCACAGTTATGACTTCCTGAGGTAGATGCATGTTGGAACTTGTAGTTTCACCACAGATGGAGAGCAGAAGTTTGTTTTTGCATCACATGCTTTCCTTTGCAACGCACTACTCTGTTTCGCTGCCAGAATCCAATATAACCAGCCCTGAGTGAGGGCTGCTCACCCTCATGTGAAATGCCTGGACCAGTGGAAGGAAAATGTGTTGTCAGCACACTTCGCTTTAGAAGTTATTATTTGAATTATTATACAGGACTTATGTAGCACCAACAGTTTGAGCAGTGCTTTACAACATATGGGGAGACAGTTCAATTGCAATACCATACCGTACAAAAGGATTAGAAGGACCCTGCATCTCTTGAGGTTCTTGCAGAATATCAGGAAGGATTGCAACGTTGTGCCACTGCACAGTGTTCCTTCATCAGGCAAGTGTCTTCAGACTTCATTTTGTCTGATAGAGGAACGTTGTGCGGTTCTGAAACATTGCAGTCTTTTCTGATGTGCTGCAACAACGTCAATAAACTTCTAAAGCAAGACGTGTGCTGACAACATGTTTTCCTTATGCATTGCTGTGGCGCCATTCACCAGTCATTGCAGCACACAGTTTAAAGGGGCATACCGGTATGGTGTGTGGAAGAGATATATTCATAGGTCTGAACCATTCACACAGCACCCCCGCTGTCACATGGAGTAAGTTGCATGAGCAGATTTGTAAATTAAAGGTAAATTATCAATGTATTTGTTTACAAAATAACATTCAGAAATTCTTAAAGAAGATCTCCAGGAAATTTGAACAGTTAACACTTGCAGTGTGTAAGTAACCCCATAGCAAGGGTTAACTGCTCACTTTGGTGTAGGAGCTATAATAAAGAAGATATACGTTCCTAATCCCTGGCCCTGCAGCAGTGACCTCACATCTAACTCTGCTCTGGCTGTGAAATGTCTCTCGGCATCTCCACATCTAATACACTGTATTAGACATAATGATGTCATGGATCTTTAGACTGCAAGAGCCCGGGGAAGAAGGGGCTGCAGGGACCAGTTTATTACCCAGAAAGGACTAAGGATCAGGTGAGTATATTTTCTTTAGTTTTGCTCTCTAGCAAAAATGAGAACTTAAAGTAGTATTAAAGTACTGTATTTGCTGGCGTATAAGACAACTTTTTATACTTAAAAACATCCCTCGAAAATCGGGGGTCGTCTTATATGCGGGGTATACAATGTATACCTTTTTAGTTCGTTTAGGCCAAGTTGGCCCAAAACGAACATCCCTAATCTGTCAGCCCGCTGGATGTGCGGTAGCTTCGGCTACGTACAGTAGCTGAACCAATCACGGCGAGCGATGTACACATCTGCCAATCCAAGCAAGCTTTGTATTCATTAATAGAATACATTGCTCGCCATGATTGGCTCAGCGCGGTATACTGTATGTAGCTGAAGCTACCGTACATACAGTATTACCGCACATCCATCCATGATGGATTTTAAATGGTGTTGCCTCGGAAGTGGGGTAGTCTTATATGACGAGTATAGCCGAAAACCTATGTTTTAAGTGGAAAATTAGGGGGTCGTCTTATACACCCAGTCACTTTATACACCGGCAAATACTGTTATCACCTTTTTTTTTTTTTTTACATATATCTACTGCTAGCAAGCAGTAAATATATGCAAAAAATGTATTTTATTTTTTATGGCACTTGGCTAATAACTTACCTGTGTCTGCACCACTCACTCCTGGCTGTAAAACTCAGCTTCCCGAACGGCCATGCAGGAAGAAGTGTGTGCGGGCGCATGTGCGGTTGATATCACCGAAGGGGAGTGTAGAGACCGTGTAAGTGAATGCATGCAGCCGGGAGATAGGACAGAACCCCGTGGGACACAGGAAGACATAGGAGTCTGCGCTGGATCAGAGACCGGCACCAGCGCTGAAGGGACTGTTCGAAATGAGTGGAAGGAAGAAGATGTTCACGTCAAGGTAAGTACCCTTGCAGTGCGGGGATAGCCCCACTGCAAGGTCAACTTTTAAAATACCCAGAGTTCCCCTTTAGACTGTTTAATTGACCCCCTGACTGTAAATGTTTCCTTTTACCAAAATCTCCTGGCTCTTGGTGCGTTTCCTGTATTTGGTGCTTCACTCCAAACAATGGTCCGCACACTGAACGTTTATTGAAATTCACAGCTCACAATCGCATATGGCCCCCGCTTCTTCTGCTACTCACCTCTCGCCTTGTCTGCACTTGTTCCTGTCCCTTATTTTTATGGGTATTTTTGTTGTTGTTTTCCTGTATAAAAGTGTCATTTCAAAGGTGTGCTGTTTATTTTTCTGCCGTGAACATTCACTTTCAAGGGACTCTGTCGCAGAGCACCTGTGTGTGACCAAGTGCCAATAGAAGCGGTCTCCCCCCAACCTATTTTCCAGATACTGATGTTTGGACAGTGAAGTTATCTGTTCATTGAATCTGTAACGTGGAGAAAGACTGCTTCTATCAGAGCCTAATCACATTTTTTTCTTTTTGGCATTGCCTACGAAGCACCATTGCAGTCTAGTGGCTTTATTTTGGTGCAGCTCTTTATCTTTGTTTTTCAGTCACTAGATGGTGCTGCTGAGATGAGCTTGGAGCATTTTCTGCAGGTGTTGGCTGTCTGCAGTCAGTGACGATCGGAAGACATGGCGGATCTCTGTTGCCAGGCTAAGTCTGTCTGTAGTGCAATGCAGAGATGCCGTCTAATCTATCCCAATACAGACTGTATCTGTAACAGATACCAGCCTTACCTGTGGTGTTGGGTTTCCATGCAGTCTCAGGACTTGATTTGAATACATTTGGCTGTGTAATGTTTTATGTAGAACTGCAGAGGAGGTAATAGATTTATGAAGCGGGCATGTTTTGACATATTTAACTTCTGGCACCTTTCAGGTAAATTGTCAGTGCTCCATACTTCTGAATTACTTAAAATAGATTTGTCTGCAGAGGCTGAGGCAGTTTGTAGATCTTGATTGCCTGGTTTCATCAATTGTGTGATGATGGCAGACTGAAAAATGTGCAGTATTCCATAAAAAAAAGGTGAGATTTGCCAAATTCTGGTTTCTGGAGTCAATTTGCTCATTAGAAGTTTACACACACTCAGGTGATGCACATGAGAGGCAATAAAGTAGAATAGGTTTAGTTTACTGATTTTGTATTGAGATTGTAGTCCATCACGGGAGCGAGCTTGGAGCGGTGACTACTTTAAAACACACGCAGGGACCATGGGGAACACAAGTAGCCACCCTCCAGAAGGAAGGACAGTGTCAGCACCAATTCAGAGATGATTTGAGGATCTACAGCCGAGTGATACACAAATAAGATCCAGTATTGTTAATTAAGCTACTTGAATGCGTTTTTAACATTTAAATGCTGAATTAAGTGTCGCTTTAATTTTAACACCGCAACCTAAAATATGTTCTTAGTTTCACTTTACATCAAAGTTTAAAATGGTTTGTTTCTAGTGGTTCCATTGTTTAATAATAGCCATAGTTCTCCACTGGCTTGCTGAGTTAGACCTCTCCAGTTTTGAAATATCAGAGCCTTCCAAACATTTAATTGTAGGATGCTATGCATTGAAAACATTCAGTTATCTTCATGGTGTGTCACAGCTTGACAAAGGCTGGGAACTGCTGTTCCACAATATGGAGTGCAGTGTCATCATTCGGATTTGCAGCGAGCGGCAGCAGTCTGGAGGAAATTAAGGGTTCTTGTGAGGGTGCCTCATTACTGGAGTTTCTGAGATGAGAAACCGCGTGTGATCCAACTTGCCGGCATTCAAGAAAAACGGAATCTGCATTTTTAGTTGATGTTGCCCTTCAAAGATTTAGCCTGCGGAAAACAAATCTTTTCGTTTTAAAGAGACGTAGACACTATGAAACATCTACTGCTTTATTTATTTTGTTTATTACTATCTGTGAATACAGAGGTGTTAGTGGTGTCCCAGAAAAGGGCACTTTAATATGTATTTTGCAGGAAAAGTTGGCACTCTCACAGCTGCCTCACTCATCTCCTAATTGGTGCTTCAGTATGATTGGCAGCCTTCATGACCTATAGAGTTATTAGAGGTCCAGGTCAGCAATAGGCTGGCTTTACAAAGTCAACATATTGGAAAACGTGGGTTTTTGAAGCTCCCAGGATGTCTAGAAACCATGCTAAGGCTTTCTAGATTTCTTTGATGTCTATTTAAAGTAGACCTGTCAGTACAGAAACACCTGTCCAGGGAGAAACATGGAGGTTTTAATTGCTATCCTCATTCTAAAAAGTTGTCCTTTAGGCTGGCCCTCTGCCTATCTGTTCTAAGTGGATGACTGACTATAAACATTGGGGCCAAAGGATGGTTTTTAGTTAATTACTTTAATAACATTTGTTCCTGGTCTTCAAGGACCCAAAGAGTTAAAGGTTCAGTATATGGGCTAGTCAGCTAGCATGTATAGAGGACCATCGGTGATGGCCTCTGTTTTTGGGTTATGTTTAGGGTATCGAGTACCGATTTTAATTTTTTTCGGTACTCGCCAATACCGGAAAGAAGCCAGGCGGCGTGTAATGACTCGCCGCTTTTCTTTCCAATTATCAGGGAAGCCGTCAATTATCAGGTGACGAGGAAGCATGGAGCCGGATTTCTGGCCAATCGGGAAGCTGGGCAACGTGTAATGACTTGCTCGGCTTTCTGATTGGTCTAGAAGCTTGCTTGTGAAGCCTGCTCCTTTGGCACCAAGTGATGAGGGAGCGTGAAGCCAGCTTTCTGGCCAATCAGAAAGCCAGGGGGCAGGTAATGAATCGCCATCCAGCTTCCTGATTGGCCAGCTTCCCGACCAATCAGGAAGCTAGGCGGCGAGTCATTGCACGCTGCCCGGCTTCCT